TGATCACAGTCCAATCACTGTACTACCCGCAACTAGGACGTTTAGCGGTCAAAAAGTCTTCAGCAGCAGCAGCAGCAGCAGCAGCATTTTGCAAATTTCGTTTCTTCATGCTGATAGGGAGCCAACACAACGCTAACAGCGATGGCAGCAGTGTACTTGGCGCACCACAAATAACCACATGTCAAGCTGCACGAAATCTCGGCACCTCCTGCATAACAATTCGCACGCACCGATTGTCTAACAAAACACCATTATCCACCACACTGTAGAAAATCGATCCACATTCAAGAAACGCAACCAGATGAAACCATCAAAGCCTGTCAAGACCATGGTAATAGAAGTACAACTACTCTTATTGTCGATAAAATGCGCGACAATTAAGGTCAGGATTTCGACTCTACTTACGGCGGAATTGTGGACTCAATCAGTATCAAAGCTGGAACTCAGAGAGCGATACCTCAAGGAATTCACACTTACAAAGAGAAACAACAGACCTCTGTGTGACACGCACTTCTGTCCTTTCAGAAACCTTCTTCATTCGGTTTGCTATCAGATTCGCTCAGATGCACCATGCAAAAAATAGAGCGCTGACTTCGTGTAATGAACATCCAACTTTTGCGGTCATCTCCACTTCAGGAAGCCTCAATCACGGCATCAACAGTCCCGCATCTCATTCAATGGAATCTACACAACTTATTTCACTTCATTTCTTCGCCTAGCAGATACCAGATGTCGGCAGGGTGTCGCAAACAGCAAGCTAGCAGTCACCGCCAGCAAGTATATCTCAACAAATTGGCCATTTCAGAGGAACCCTTTTCTACTTTTCTTCCTTTTCTACACTTGTCGAGCGCAAATAGGCTTCGACAGGCTCGCGAGAATTGCAGGTAAACACTTCAAAAAAGTAAAGTAATAGGCATAGAGACGAATATAAGTGCAACAACGTACCCCGAGCCTCGGGACCCTTCCCTCGATTAGGCATTAAAGCTCGCCCGCGTGGACGTTCTTCGAGGAATCCTCGGAAATTAAGCGGAGAACGCAGACCATTGGGGTTTCGATTTTGCCGATTAAATGTGCGCATTGGCCCACTGCGTGTTGGCTGTCGTGGCGGTGGAGTGTGGCGTTGAGGACGCTTCATTGGATAATCAAGATCTCCATTTGAGTGTTTTGAAGACACATCCCGAACAACACGAGACATTGGCGGTGGACTACGACTCCTAAACATTGTAAGACTATAAGAAAGCAACCACTGTACCTTTGAGCCCAAGGAGCGGATGATTGCTCAAAAACCCTCCCATGGCGTGGAACATCATAACGTGGAAGGCCAAATTCTCGCCTAATGTTGTTAATGTTCCCATCTACCCGAACTTTTGGCCTATATTCCGAGTAGGGCTGGCCATTCTTGAAGTGACGCGGTGGAAGATTCCTTTCACCTCGACCACTATGAGAAGAAACGCCAAGCGGAGACCTCGATCGACGACGATCTGTGTAGAACCGAGGAGGCGGAGGAACCATTTCGGAAACCGAAACCACAACAAAACAAACTAACTAAACAAACATCACGAAAAAAATGTCTTTGTGCAATCGTGCAATTTCTGTTCAAAATGTAAAATCGTTTTTTAATGGTTTGATTAATATTAAGGTAATAAATTTCATGTTACAAAGCAAGTTGGTTTCTGATTCCCGTTTCAATTATTTTATTTTTTCACCTTACTTTAAGTCCACGTTGTTCTATTAAGGTATGGAAAGGTTTTTCTTTAAAAACTGAGTATAATTATTTAAGTTGTTTTCTTTTAAGTGATATAAAGGATAATTTTATTTAATGCACTGACATAAAAAATATTTTCTGAAGTTAATAAGGAGTAGCGATTTTAGTTAAGTTAAATTCTTCCTTTTTAGTTTTTTGTAATTTGTTTTTTTTTATTAAACCCTGTGTTTCGAAGCATTGTAACGGCTGGATATAAGCGGTTAAACCGCTGTTCAAAATTATCTGCCTGCTAATCTTGGACAAAAGATATTTGAATTTAGTGATTAAACGCTAATTAGTTACGACAAAAGCTAACCGCAATCATTTGAATTTTGATTGTTAATGGATGTTTTAGTGTATTTTTTTTTAAAGAGACGTCGTATAATCCTTTACCTTCGCAACATCTTAGCCGAAATACTCTGGCTAGTGCACACGGACATTAATAGAATGGATTTACTAAATTTGCACACGGATGCTGTCAGTTTTGCGTCAAGAGTTGATTTTAATGTGACAAGTCCTCTTGATCATTTAAGCTTTAGTTAAATCTTTTATATTTCCTAGTCACTTTTTCACATGAGTGAGCTATTTTCTTTGTAAATTCAGGTACTTCGAAGTCTAGTTTTTACCTCATTATCACTTTGCCTATGTTTATCAATTGGTTAGATTCAGGAATTTTAAATTATAATTAGCTTTTGATGAGGACAAATATCCATTACGAGATTTTGATCTAGGTCAGTAACTTGAACTTCTAATTTGGATTGTAATTTTTGTTTCATGTTTTCGTAACTTTTGTGTCATTTAGCATCATAAGGTCCTTGTAATTTGACGGTTTTTGAAATAACTGCTTTGAAGCTTCTGTTGGTACTTAGATCACCACTTTTTTGAGTTAAAACTAATCAAATGTGTCTCGCATGTTGAAGCGGTTGCATTGTAAATTCAAGACTGAAAAAACCGCTCTTGAAAAATTTTTAGGTTAAGTTGATTTTATATTAAAAGTATACATGAGTTGATCTTTACCATAAAAAGTTGATCATTGCATTTATAAAATTGTTGAATCTCTTGTACGACAAACGAGGACTTATGCAATTATTGACGGGCAGACATCAAGGAAAAAAGGAAGGTAAAAATTGCATTCAAGTTGCCTTGACACGTTACAATTGACAATAAAAGATATTGATATCTCAATGATTTCCTTATTAGTTGTAATGAATTTTTTAATTTTGTTTAGTCATCTATATGTGCAGAAATTTCAAAACGTTTTTATTATAAATTCAAAGAATTGTGAACAGTGGCAGTAGCAATGTCATATATATTCAAAGGCGGCCTTTTGGATGGTTGTCATTTATTCATCTTGGGACGCCTAACTAAAATTATCCAGCATTTACTACTGGGTCAGCACATTGGCTGACTCCTTGGAGTCGCAAGACGCAAATACACCCACACATGTATGCCTAACTTTTTCGACCCCTTGAAGTTCCCAGTTCTAGATACTCCGCCTGATAAGCCCCTGATCTTATTTATGCAAGACTAGTAGCCTACCTAAAGCTGCATTTGCGGTGGAAGTCCCAGCAGATCTTTAATACAGTTATATTAATATGTGATAAAGTGCCGTTATTTCAATAACTCCTGGGTAGGAGCCTAACATTTCGGCTAGTAATTCAGTTATGAATGGAATCACAAAAGTCGTGTGACCTTTTGGATGCAAAAGGCACCAGTGTCTGTGGTTTTTCAAAGTATTTCGAAATTTTAATCCTCCCAGTATCAACTTCGCTTATTTTCTTGTGCTAACTACGAAAAACGTGTCACTTGATTTCACAGGTTCTGTTTCGGCTTGGGTATCAGGATATTTAAATCGGGTGCAACCCATGTTTTATGTCTACTATGCAGATAAAACGCATTAATGGCCTATGACAGCCCTCAAACGTCAAAGCGTGTTAATGTTAGGATCATAGGCCAAATTGTTTTGCACAACCCAATATATTTTTCCCTGCTCAATATTGATGCCATAGACTTTCTATCGCACGCCAGATCCCACTTCACCAGAAAAACTTCATCGTTTATGGTTTGACTTAAATTTAGATGCCAGACAACTTTGCAAAAGTCTGCACAGGTACTACTAAGCAGGGTTGACTGTCAATCAAAAAATGTTTGCAGTTTACAACGGTGGATCGGGTTTCTCGGTCATGTATTTTCTGGATCTAAAATTTTCTTAGGCCCTGACATACTCAGCAAGGGTAAGAAAAGATTTGTTTTTTCTTTGCGGAGCCTTCGAGTAAGTGGTAGCGTGTAACGAGGATTTTGCATAGCTTAAGTATGCACCCGCTTTGGTTGTTACCTAGCACTGTTGCTCTCCATAAAGATGTCTTTTATTCCAGGTAGGACTCAACCTTTTTTTATATATATAAATATCTTCAGTTTGCGTTATGCTTAGTTGCTACAAGCCTTCTTGGTCAGTTGAACCACTCTGGTGAGGGTAGTAAGTCCAAGATTCTGGTCGTTGGAACTAAGACATGACGTCCGCCACGTCTCCACCTTCTGCCTCAAATGCATTTCGTTTGTGATGTCCAGAACCCTTCTAAAAACCCTACTATATTCATTTATGTTTGCTTACATTAATCAGTTACTTAAGATTGACATCATGGGCCTGTAGCAAACTGTAAGAGCTCTACAACAAATAGTTTGCTACCGAAAAGGAGGCGTCAAATGTGTGCCTAATTGAAGCTGGTCATTTATGTGATAATAGCAAATCACTACTTTTCCTAGCGATTAGCTGATGCTGTTGGATGACGTAGACCGATATCTTCATGTAAAACCTCTTTATGTAGCTAAGAAACAATGTGTTAATGCTGTAAAAACTGAGAGACAAATTTTTGAGTGCGAAAACAATGGTCGGCCTTTAGATCTTTACAAGGAGAATTTACTTAAGTTCTGTTTTCGGAATGACGGCTTATATTTAAAGAACTTTTTTTCTGTTAACAAAAGAAAGGTTTATGGAATAATAATAATAATCGTGAGTCAGATACCAATAAATATGTGAGCAAGTTTCACTCACCCGCGTTCACATGCAGTGTAGTACAGGCCTATTATCACTATCACGCCAATGTAATAAGTACCTAATGTAGTGGTCGATTTCTCTTTGAAAAGGGCAGATGCAGCAACTCTACTCAACAAAGACATTTGCACAGTCTCCGATGCTGTTGTGCATTGTTAAGCCGTTAGATACGGTGACCAAATTGTCTACAATGCCAAAGAATAAAAATTCAGTAACCAATTAATTTAAGAAATCTCGCACACCCCCTAACTATCTAATTGGCAATCAACAGACAAAGAGGGTCAAAAGATTGCTCCTAATAATTTTAGGATCATTTGTCTACGCAGCCTGCAACGAAATCAAGAAAAATCGTATCTCCCTGTGCCTTTTGCCATCAGCAACACAGATTACTAGTCTACCAGCATTCTTCTTGCCCCATTCTGTTCTGTTATAAACACAATACTTCCTTCAACTAGCATTTTCAACAACGGTCATCAATTTCCTTCGTTTACACCGGCGACATCGCTCAAATAATTGAAAAACGAGGCAAATTAGAAAAACTCTGCTTGGTAGCCTTTATGGTGTGTAGAATACCCGAGCCCTAGTCTCAATTTCCTCCTAGATACCAGTTCCGCTGGCAACTTATACCGTTCTATATTTGCTTGTAATCTTGACTTGGAGCACATCCTGTTAATGTAAAGCAACATATCAAACTGGTTGATAGTAACTAAAAATGGGGATGAAGTCTATACATTAGTCGAAATAAAAAAGTTTTCAACCAAAAATATTTTTTGCTCTGAATGTTTTCTCAAACCTGAACGAAATCTTATGGATGTTATATTTGACTTTGTATAAATGTATTGAAAACATTCAAAAATTTTGCAAGCTTTGTAAATAGTTTTTTTGAATTATGTTACTTTGGGTGAAATGATAGTAATGTTCTGCCACTCGGCGCATTTATAAACTGGTTAATTTGACCTTGTGAATTCGCGAAAAGTACTTGTCTTTGCCAAATTCATTCTATTCATTATTTGAGATGAATAGTACAGTAAAAATCGTTGAAACATTAGATCAACCTACAAGTATGAAAAACTACTTTTCTTTAACCACCCTTCTAGAATTCCCGATACAGTATATAAACGATGACTTTTTAAGACGTTATACCAAATCGCAGGATTTATCTACAGTCCATCATCTTTGTTTGACTTCGACTGTTATTGCACCATATAAAATAACGGTTTGCAAGCTTAAAAGTTAAATCCAATGTTTTTTAGTTCCTTGATAATTTGCAAAGTCTTAGTAACCTCACGGTATTGAACGTTTCCGGTAATGCCATCGAAAAGCTCGAAGGTCTAAGGAGCCTTACGCGTTTAAAATGTCTAAATTTAAATCAGAATTGTGTGACCAGACTTGATGGACTTGAAACCTTAAAAAACCTTCAGAGGCTTTATCTGAACTATAATATGATTCAAGATATACCACCGTGGTTCCAGCATCGACTTTTATCCCTTAAGTCCTTACAAATTGGGCACAATCAAATTAATAACGTAAGTATACTTTTTGAATTAGGTAATTTACGAGTCCTTTGGTCCGAGTCTTCAAAAAAAACTAACTTTAATGTCTTTTTAATTTAAATTAGCTCCACAAATTTACCAAATTACGTCGCCTTCCAAATCTTACCGATTTGGTAATAAAGGGAAATCCCGCAGTCCTCCTCGACGATACTCCGTCAGGATCTGTCTGTTCTGCCAATTCTCTAACTGAAGATGGGCCGCAAGATTCGGTTTACAAACAGTGCTGTAGGGCCTTTGTCATTTTTCACTTACGAGCCTTAACTATGTTGGATGGACAGATTGTTGCTACAAATGAACGGAAGGAGGCCGATTCCTGGTTTGAACAAGGCTAGTTCTTCTTACTTATTTTTGCTCCTTTCTCAGTTTGTTATAATTATAACTCTAGATACCTGCCTTTAATTGAATTTTTTCTCATTTTTGTTCAAAAAACAGTATGCCTTTGATATCATTATTCATAGTTGTTTGAGAATTTAGACTGCAAAGTTAATCTCTTTTAGCCGAAATTTCGCGCATGAACAATCAGCTAGAATCAAGAGAAGCTGAAGTAGCTGAATTATCGAACTGTCTGGCCCGTCTAACGATCGAAGCAGAGGATCGTGGTGCGGCTGCTGAGGAACTTGCTCGCCAAAAAGCTGATCAAGAATTAAAGCTTGAAGAAATGCGACGTGAACTGGAAGCAAAGGATGAATTAGTAAGCGGAAATAAATGAATTTCCATGGTTCCTAATAAAAGGATCTGCTGTCATTTGTAAAGTTGATCCACAGAAAAAATCTACCTTTTTGTCTAAAGCCACGTTTGAATCCGGCTCAACCTACTAAACCTCGTATTATTTTACTTCTGAAGTTTAGGGCAGTTGTTGCAATGTGAATTCCTCAGATCCCCTGGAAAACAAGAAAATTCCACTCATTTAATTTCTCCTTTTTCCACACAGAAAACATTTGATGTTTTGTTGTAGTGGCGACTGTTAATTCGGAGTACGCTTATTCACCACTCGTTGCAGGGTCCTATTAAGTAGATTTAGGGACGCTGATTAACATCACGCCCACTAATTTAATATTCTGCTCGTCTGGCTTCCCATCTGTAGCTCCGGGCCAAATCGAACGAGCTCCTTCGCGCTTGCCTGAAGCACTACGAGATCGAACAGGAGCTTGCCTTCTATAAAATCGACAATAAACTTGCAGGGTTCCTTGGCAAGCCACCGGACCCAAACGTTGGCGGTGGCAGTCTTAGCCAACTGAACGGAGATGTGGTACGTCTGCCATGCATCTAGCTTATCTGCCATGGATTTCTCATATTACTTCCCTAAATCCTTATTTCCTTCGTCCTCGTCTACTTTGGCCCTCCTGCTATTGGTTATATTCATCCCAGCTTCGACTATTAGTTCGACATTTGAAGTCGGTGTATGAGCCATGGTTAAGTCGGCCAATGAACGAACATCTTCACACCGACTGCTAAACCCGTTAAATTATTGACATCCGGTGGGTCACAGTCTGAGTCTAACAAATGACGCTTCTTGCAACTCGGAAGGTCGTCGTTTTCTACTAGCGATGTGCTCACTTCCCGCCTATACACCGTGCGACGTCCGTCCAATCTTGTTGTATGGCTGTGCAAAGTTCATTCGTTTTCAGCCACAGCCAATGCGCCTGGTAGCGTGTCCACACGCACAAACACAAAGTACTGCCATTTAACTCATCTCCGGCTTAGTCACCCGTAACTTAAACAAGTCTCGTTTGACGCAATTAGCAGTCCAAATTTGTCAAGTAAACCATCTTGACGCAGACAAAGCGTGGAGTCCCTCAAAGCCTACTGAGCAGGCGTTAATTGGACGCAACTATTTGCTGCATCTCTCTCGATTGCGGAGTAATGGACTCTTAGAGTCGATGAAATGGTAGATGTTCGTAGGTGACCCTTCGGTGTTCGACGGAACGCCCATAGTTGTCATTCTTAGCATTGTCCATCATTGTCTTTTTACACAATGTTGTTACATGTCCTGCCTCAGCATCAGCCGATGTTTCTATCACAAGTGCCACACCGAGGTCAACTTGTCCTAATTTTATCACCCCTGACCTTGATTATTTCTTTTACCAGGGTAGCTGTAAATAGCCGCTCGCTTATTGGCTACTCGGTTCCAATTATATAAGTTTGATTTCAAAAACAAAATGCCAACACCTTGAACCACGATCTGTGTCCTTATCACCACAATTGAATAGAAAATGCTAATTCGGAACTCCATTACTAGCGATAAAGATGAAAAAATTTCCGGAATAAGGATGATGAAGGAATGTAGAAGTTGTTTTCCAAACACGTGGAGCACCTTGGCGTAAAATTGAGCAAGATATCAGCAAAGTGCATTTAAGGGGAACTCAAAACGAATGACTTTGCAACTCGCAAATAATGCCAAAAATATGTCTTGACAAGAAAACGATGGTAACTTTCTTAATGCTTAAAAAACGAGTAGTTTTCTATGCACAAGCAGCATTCTAACGGGCACAATTTAAAGTCAAACTAAGGCACCGATATTTTCACAAGTAAATACTGTGTGTGTGTGTGTGGGGGGGGGCGGCTTGCTTTATAGCTAAAAGTACACGGATCATCTAATTCGCCCAGTTAATTTCCGCACGTCTGGTGAATTTAACGCTGATTGGCTGTACTTCCGGTCGGTTCGGCTAAATTCGGGAACCGATTGGGTTGTTTCTGCTACTTCAACCTGGTCTAGTGCAACCCGAAGTCAAATTCATCACCCAATACTGATGCCTGATGGTGTTTCTGCTGTTGATTCACAGTGAAGCATCGAAGTCTGATGGAAGTTTGGCTGTTCGAATTGCCTCATGATTCTCTTGACCATCCAACAGGTCTTTTCTTTGTGTTTCCATCCGGCTACGCAAATTCTTGTCTCCGCTAGCGCACAACAAGCGCCTAAGTAGGCATTAGTCACTGTCCGCGGTATGACTCACTGGTACTACTATGACTCGCCAGCGTGTGATTGTGTCCCTCACAAACCCCACGTGCCAGCCTACAAGTCAGCGACTGATTTGAAGGAGTCGCTAAAGGAAAACGCAAGGAAACAGTGTAAATTCAGCGTTAAAGATGTTGATCGAAGGCTGGATTTGAGTATAGTCACAAGTAGTATCCAGTAATGGACTTCAGCAACTTATCCTACGACTTAACGGTAAGAAATGGAGACTAGTGAATTCACATCATCTGGTGATAAAAGAATGATTCATCCGTAATAGCCCAAAAGAGTTCACGGGAAGGCTTGTTTAAGAAACACTGGATTTTGGGAAGTTGGAGAGGACAAATATTCATTGTAATTGCATTTGGTTACTTACGGAGACGTCCTAGTCGCATTTTTTACCCAATTAAACACCTGATTTTTACTACTGATCATTAAAGCCCTGGCTACTGTGTTTCACCAACTCGTGCCAACAACCTCCTCCCCAAGTTGCTGTTATTCTGGATCATGTAATGCGATCTTGTTATTGGCTGGGCTCAAGGTCACGCTCGTGATGCGCGCGCTTGTCAGATCGATGCAGGTTACATTTGTTCGTCCAGATTGTTCGCTTACGCTCGTCCGAGCGCACACCAGCGGTTAGTTCAAAATAAACACATGCAGCCTCTGTACTCCGTGCCAGTAACAGTGAAACTTTTACACAGTTTTGAAACAGCATTAACATGATTCCATTTTACATGACCTGTGCACAATGTTGCCTTGGTGAATTAAACGAATTTTTTAGTGACCGCTCTTTTCAGCATCATTTGGTGTCATCTGTGCATGATTTGATAACTCAGTCACGCACTTTGTCAACCTTATAATCCGGGGTAGAATCACGATTGTTGTAAAACTTTAAACCAATGAGGAAATGTCTTTTCCGGCTACGGAAATCCCACAAATTCACACAGTCAGCTCCTCAGAGGTTAACGAACGATAAAGAGGCTCATTTAGTAGTCACATCGAGCACTGTTTTTGAAAGTATGAATCAAGTGGTTAAAACAACGGATAAATCTTGAATGATACGGCAAATGTCACAGGTCATGCCCTTCGGGTAATTTCCTCGGGATATTTTTGGTACAGAGCCACGTTTGGCCAGTGGTCAGTTTTGACATTATGACCTCCTGGGTAATTGCCTTTAACGCTACATGAAATGCGAGGTTTGCCCTTGAAGCCATGGAACTCCTAGGTCATACAGTTGATTTGCGCTGGCGCGTCAATCCCACATCACTCTAGACACATTTGCTGACGCTCATTTAGCCGTACAAGTAGTTCCCAATTCACATTTTCGAGATCGCGACTGTCGATTTCGTCATTTCAACTACTAACAACCACACGATGACCTACGGTGCGATGGTTGAACACATGGAGAGTCGGCAGCCAACCTACAAGGCCAACTAACTTTAATATCCACGGGCTTGTTGTTGTACAACTTCAATTCCAAAACTAGGAGTCGTGCTTGTTTCTGCGTCAGCTATTTTGCACAGACCGCTGTTCCTTCACCGGTATTGTATTTCTAGTGCTCAGGAGGCTGTAGCACGTTCGGGTCAATTTATCATGTCGTCCACTGCTAGTTGGCTTCTCGGTCGCTCATTGGTGGCTGAGCTCTGCAAGCAAGTCGCCGCTGTTTCGTGCACTGGCTTGCACAACCCCTCGCAGAGCTGCCGTTGGCTAAGTGACCACGTGCGACTTTGACCGCGAGAAACGTAAACGAAAATAACCAGGACAGGCTGCAGATCTTGTTTTGATAACTGGCCTCCACGTGGCCTTGACACAGTTTACGCTTCCGCCGTTGGTAGCATAAGGTTATGGGGGAAATGGCACAGGTGTTTTTGACTTGAATGCGATATTTTCCAACATTTTGTACCGCAGTCTTCTAAAGTAGCCTCTTGTGCCTCTGTAGAGTCGCCCCACGACGGATGAAAGCCCTTACCTCGGAAAGTGTCGATACATTCGCGTCCCCGGGGCCTCTTTTAACTTCCACAAGGACGCAACTTTGCCCGACACAACACCAACGCACACAAATTACTCAAACACTTTTCCGCGACCGGAGAACAACTTCAATGGACACACGGATCCAAGGCAGGCGAGATCTAGTGACTTCACCTCGTCTCTACCACGGGTAAATCAATTAAATAATTGCCCTGAATCAAATATTGTAGCTTGTTGTCGTCGTTTTAATTGGGCGCCCTCCCTTGGTCACGTATTTAAACACAGGCCAACCAATCACGTCCTTGAGTCTTGAGGTTGTCATGCCGCCTTGCCCAAAATGTGGTTCGAAACACTGCTCTCAATGCGAATCAAAAACTGTGCATGTTAGGAGGCCGACTTAAACACTCACCACATCCGGTTATTCGTTTATTTAGCCAAACACGCTGCTACCGTCGCCACACAGCGACCCCCCTGATAATAAGGACGCAACCGACAGCACGACGTCTTCAGGTGACTTCTGTAAGTGTCTGATTTTGTTTTAACTTTAACTGACTCGTCTCGGTTTTCTTTGGCGCCCTTTTGTCCAAAATCCCGCCAACTAGGTGGGGCACAAGTTAAGATTACACACACACACACACAGTGAGAGGGAGGGCTTGTAGTCATTGTATCGACTAACTTATTGATTTACGATGGATGCCTTCTTGGCGTCTGCAATCGAGAGCAGCTTTGGGTTGGAGCTACGCGCATTTCCAAAACAATCATTTCGGCCAGTCTAGCCTTGTGTGTGGCAGCATACGTGACTGACCTGTCTGTGACAGCAGGGGCCTTAATAAAGTGACCACCGAGTGGTCGGCTGAGAGCGCTAATTGCTATGGGGGACGCGTGTTCACGGTTTGGGGGTCAAGTGGACACAAGTGCCCGTGTCTGGTCTGACTGTATTTGTCCGCGTATATTCCATTGGATATTTAATACTTTCAAAATGTGGTCTGCTTTTAATGGGCTACGGTTAAATCGTAAAATAGGCGTATTTGCACCTCTGTCTGAAAATTATTAATGAAATTGTAAACCCAAGTGCAAAACATCCAAGTTTTCTGCCACCAACCAAGAAAGAGGGGTTTACAGAACTTGTTGCAATCGAACCTGTCTCAATTTCAGTCTCGAGTGGAAATTGAGAAAATTGATTTTTCAATTATCTGAGAAGTTAACAAATAACGGATTCCGAAGCCATTCTTACAGATGCTGGCTGGCAAAATACATAAATGCGATTCCAGACGTCTGCAATGTATCATTTGTCTAAGCCTTGAGAAGGTTTATTTACGACTCGGTATTTCGATTTATTTAGTTATTACAATCACTAACATAATTCACACATTCAACGTTAATTTATCAAACTGCTGCCGAAGTCACTATCGTTGTGTCCACTTGTCAGAGCACGCGTCCCAGGAAGACTGCTGGTGATAGCTGTGAATCGCCACGTTGGGTATTTTGCTTCAGGTGGGATCTTTGTTGCTTAGACCACTTCCATCAACCTAGAATCCTTCGACATGGAACGGACTCTCTAATGAAGCCACTAGTTTTAATCAAATTCGAAAACTTTCCGTCTACCGAACCATTTATGCACAAAATGCTGAAGAATTCGTGTGAATTTATGCTGATCTCGTGAAGTTTTGGGGCAACGGACCCAGAGGCACAAGATTTAATAAAGAAGGTCAGCTCGTTTAAATGATTGCCTCTTGCAAAAAGTCCATTCACATCTCTTCACAATTGTTGGCTGCTTAAGACGCTCAAAACAGTGCTTTATCTCTGTGCCTTCCGGACGAATTTTGGCTTAGGATAAACAGCTGTTGCCGACCAACTGTCCCTAATTAACACACACGGTGTGGTCAGTCCTAATCTCTGTGTGGAACTGCTAAATTGATAGTTCTGCCCCTAACACTATGGTGCTGGGAGTTTGCCTCTATCGATCGTTTTACGCGCCAAGCACCTAGTCAAAACGCGACTTTTTCAACCTCATTCGCAGCGCTGTTGTGTTAAAACTCAGGATTAGAGTCGATGGGACTGGCATTTTACCAGGAACCGTCCACAGCGTTGAGGTATGAATGATTACGTCAAGTCACTAGCCGCTGTCGCGACGGTGTGTCTTGTGTTCCGGGAATTCGTGTCGTAAAACCTGGCGAGAAGGTCACTGGTACAGTCAGTATTGAAAACATTGCCTGTTGAAACGACTCTAAGTCACAAATATGTGTTATCCACGTTATCATATACGCAAGACAGTTCAGTATAGGATGGTCAATGTGTCTCATTGCACACTGAAGGCCACATTTACAGTCGCAAAAGCTCTTCTTGGACCACAAAAACACCCGTTTTAGTAAGTTATTGTCCCCAGAAGAATTCCATGTTGAATGAAATTGGGCTGGACCATTGGGTGTTATTCGGTGTGTTAAGTGTTCAAGTGAAACAGGCAAGAATCAATGCATCCGTGTCTGCAATCCTCCAAAAACGAAATTCTTCTCCGTTCTCAAACTCGTAGATATTTTCGCAGATAACCAGCGCATTTGGTTTGTATGATAGCCTCTTGTTGACTCACGATGGTCAGATCACCAAGTCTACCGTTAGTCGTGTTTTTTTTTCATTGGACGCAAGGAACTGTTCGCTGTTTTCACCACGATCTTACTGATCTCGGATGAGATCACTTCTGGCCAATGATCACGGTCTCTCGCAGCATCGATTCAGCGAGTTTTTCTTTGCAAAACACGCCACAACCGAGTAGGTCCTACACATCGAGGTGTGTGTCGGTGCACCACGAGAGGAACAAGAGCTGGCCCAGTAACAGTCCAACAGCTGCAACACCGACGAATCGAGTGCTATCCAGTTATTGGGCTGGCGCCGTACACACCCCACTGCTCACGTATTTTGGGCTGCTGGATCCTATTTCTTACCCGCATACCACACAAGTCCTAACATTAGAAATCATCTTGCATTGACGATTCGTGAATTCAGCTCAATGGCTCCTCTGTGAGACGGAATTTTTGGCCTGTGGGTAATCTCGGTGTGGTTTTTTGCTTTTAGCTGAACACTCAGAAGAACTGAAAACGATATCCAAAACGACACCCATGACCTCCTCCACACCACTGAAACCCTACACATCAGGACTGGAGAATGAGACGTCGTCTCTGGCCAAAAGCAACTGCCATAATTCTGTGACAATGCCCTATTTTGGCACTTCGCCAGAGCCAGAAGATTTCATGGATGCATCGCCGCCATCCTGGTCCCATGGTGCTTCGGTGATTAACGTTGGGTCGCCTTGCTCATCGGCCAATCAAGTGAGCCCGTTCTGTAGTTAGTTCGTAGCACAAATTAGACAGACGCATTTTTCCTCTCAAACGTGACAATTTATAGTGTTATTGATTTGTAAGGTTCCCCTTTTACACCTTACACCGATGAAGGGAGAAAAATTCCATCTAAAATTATTCAGAAAGTTGTCTTTTTTATCACACCAACCAAGCAGCTGATGGTATTTTTTCACAGTGCAAGGGTAATTTACCAAGTCGAACAAAACTGTTGCTGTTTGTCTGCTAACAAAAACCGACTTCCGGTAGCTAGAGCTTGTCTGATTCACCAAGGCGCAAAGCTTTCTTTTTCTGCTGCTCGTTCAGTCTAAGGTTTTGAAATCTTTTAAAAAAAGGAATTTTGTGACTGGAATTTCTGTGTAAAATTCAAAAATTCCGCCGACTACCATGGAAAGGTGAACTCACGAAGGTTAATAAACATGATAACAGCTGATTTCCCTGCGATTGTGTTAATTTCATTTTGCGAAATTAGTGCGAATGGAATCTAAATTCCAGCGTTTTCATTGGACACTTTCATTTCACGCGGGAATCTTTGGTGAATGCCTTGCAGTTATCGCGTGTGTTCGAAAAACTTAGAAGATTTATGTATGCACTTCTTCGCACGTGGTGTGCTGTCGTTAATTGTGATTTGTAATGAACTGGTTGCTGGGTGCTGAATCAGTACCCCCAAAAATCGACCATTTTTTAATGCCACCTTTTCCCCTTTTTTTCAAGTATTTTGACCCTTGTGGCAACTCTAATTGGCCATCCGAGTTAAGCTATAATAGTGGCTAAATGGCAACAATATATTGCAGTGCTGTTTAATCATTGTCATCATGTTCGTGGAAGTCATTCGGTTAGCTGCCTACAACACTTTGCAAGAATCAGTGCATACCGCCAAAAAATGGCAAGATATATCATGAATTAAGTGTTTAGAAGACGTTTACATAATTACGTATGTTATCAATTTTCAATATCATTAAGAAATCGACATTGGATTAGTATTTGTAAGATGTCAAAACCAGGAAATTTCGTTGAATTTGACGAGGGTTTCGTGCTCATTGAAATCAATGCTGAATTGATCTCCAGTGCAACGATCCTCGAAGTATTTGACTAGAGTTGTTTAAGAAATAAATACGAGGTCCCCTACATCAACCGAAAACTTTTGTTCCTGTTGGAAACGAACTGCTGCTGGACTTTTAGAAGTCTCAGCCTCGCTCTACCGTGCGAATTCAGTGCGATTCTGGCATCGAAACACCAATGACAACGGGGAATTTATGCGGGAACGAAAGCAGCCTCGACGACGGCCGAATTGAGTCTCTACCTGGATGTGAGTAACATGCGTCCCTTTTTTAAAATTATTCCTATTTACATTAGTTAAGTAGACAGGTTATTTATCATTAGCCCCACGAGGGGAAGCCACTTGCCCCGACTTCATGCCACAATGCAAGGACAGCTCGACCCAAGTGTCGATTTGCCAAACCCCCCAACTGAACTCCTCAAGGTGCCAGACGGACTCCCCGACCAATGATTCGACTCACCGCCAATGGCAAGAGAGGACAAAGCAGCGTCTGACAAAGACGTCTGCACAACAGTCCACTGAAAGTATCCATGCCATGGCCATGGTAAGCGGGCGAGAATTTAATGTACCAAAAGCCGGACACCGTTTTTTAGCAATCTAACATCATTTTTTTCCGAAAAGTTTAACGCACACGACCTCAAAACCATGAAAAAGGAGCTGGCTCGATTGCAGGAGGCGGTTCGAATGTCGGCGGCCGAACGAAATAGACTCGCATCTGAGGTTCGTTTGTTTAAATTAATTAGTGCCATTCCATCTCTCTCTCATTTTTTCCTTGTAATCAAATTTTTAGCGATATGGTCCTCGCAAAACTTGGGATGATGCACATACTAGAAATGCATTTTTTTACATTCAAGAATTATCCATGCTCCTTGTAATAGATGTTTCGTTAGTTGCTGTTTTTTTTTCTATTTTGCCGCTCTCGTTGAAGGTCATTGACCGTAGTCGGTTTAGATAAACCACCTCATTGGTCTTTTCCTGTGTTACTGTAAAAAACGCATCCGGCCAGCCAATGGGAAAAGGGGGGAACGTGTGTTACGCAATTCGTAATTGACTCCAATTAGCCAGATCAATAGTCTACTGACGCGTGAGCACGCGAGCGCGTGCGCGCGCGCGCGAGTTTGTGTGTCTGTTCCACTAATTTGCGCTCGCGCCCTGTCTGTCCCACACTTTTTAATATATGGCATCCATGCGGCTGTGCAGAGCCCACGTGCACGACTTACGGCCGCTGTGATGTACATTTAAAGTCCCCGGAATTTTCTAAATGGATTATCGCCCAATTAAAGTGGCCCACCAGCGACCTTGAAATGGTGAGCGATTCTTGGTCTGCAATTTTCTTACGGTGTTTGACTTCTTGATGTAAATGTTCACAAAAGTATTGTGCAATTCACATCCCTTTTCTTAAACATAAATTTCTTTATTCCGTTTCCTAAAAACTCGAATTATTTTCCTGGAATGTGCTAGCTTTGCAGACTTGTAGCAGTGAGAAGGTGCCTTAAAATCTGATTGGCTGTTGACACCCAATGAACGTTAGAGCGAGGAAGACGATATCAGCAGGTGGCCCCGACCGATTACTCATCTGTCAATCTTGATGAATCACTGTGTGCATTTGCGTGCACCTGCAAGGTAGTTTGGGAACAGTGACCAATGAAATCAAAGAGTGGGTCAACGACACAAATCAGCTATTCTTAACGCTGATTGGACAAGATTTTAGGTTTCTGCCGAGTCCTCTGTAGATTTCTTGAGACGGTACCTCGAGTTGGCGTTTTCGCCTCGTTCTTATGTCGTTTTTGAGTTTCCTCTGATGAAAGAGGGAGATGGGCGTTAACTTTATCGCCACTGCTCCCTTATCTGCGTTGCCATGACACATTGTTGCAGGGGCGTTTCTCTCTCCAAGAATCCCACCTGACGTGAGTAACCCAGTCACTGGTGACTCATTCGAGGCTCTAACTGCCTCCTGCCAAGTCGGCTGACTTGTGCTCAACGCTTTAATCCCGGAAATCGCTCATGCGCACTCGGAAACACCACTCAGCCCGGTCAAACGACAACCACTGTTGCATTTAATTTCATTTCAATCCCTTTTTTTAGGTTTGTCAAATATTTGGATGAAATGATTATATGTTGGCAACTGCTTTAAAGGACGGCTTTTTTCGTTTAGACAGTTGTGACGTGTCACTTTTGGCCTTCTTTGCAAGCTAATTGTGCCGTGTTTTGTTCGACGGATTTGATTTGAGTAAATTTTAACGTGGCGTGAAACAGGGATAGCTTTGTCCACGTTCAAGGTGCCGATTGACGACCAGAATTGGGCAAACGACGGTTAGTTACACGACTGGCCTTCTCAAGATTTGGTCACTCAAACTTCACCAACTAGGGTTGAAGAATACCAAATCAAAACCATCATCGAGGTTATTTAATTGTGCTAGAGATCGCTAGGATGTTGCTAAATATGGCGCGAAAATCGAAAACCACGCTAAATGTCTTGATAACGTTAAGGAGCACGATAGAATCTCTCTTAACTCTTGAATTGAGGTCAATCCTCGCGTTGGATGATCCTCATGAACTTGAAGTGTCTGTAGTTGTCTTTGTCTCCCTTGGAGACGTTCTCTCCTCAATAATATTGCAGACGACTGACTAGGAAGTGTCAACCTTCACTTCGTTTTCGTGTACACTCCTCACTACCTGATACTCGATCGCAGAGCAATATCGATCCGGCGCGACCTCGATATCGTGATATTGAATTTTAGACATCATCATCATCATCATCATGAACGCTGTCTATAAATGCTACATCGATGTCAAACATTCTTACACAAATGAACGCCTTTTTCACGCTAAGAAACCTGCTCTCTTCTCAACCTCTGAACGTCCGTCATTTTTGTCGTATTTTTTTTCTTTGAGCACTTCGTGCTCAACAAACTGGTGATCTCAAAGTGTAAAGCGGTAAACTTAAGTTGTGAGGTGACGAAAAGTCCTAGACTGCGCAGCTAAGTGTTACAAGCCTTCCATGGTCATAAATTATGGCCAGCCACGAATAAAGGTATTGAGCATCGGACACACGTAGCAAGCCCTTACGTGGCCAGTTTAACGTCGATATTGTGGGACCTATGCCGCAGTCAAGAGATTTTTGTTTCCTTCTGAATTGTGTTGATTGTTTTACCTTTTCCAACGCAAAACATCTCCGCCGAAACCGTATCTAAAGCCTTCGTAGACAGATGGGTCGTCTTGTTTGGAGTCCCCTCCACCATCACCACAGATCGAGGAACGCAATTCAGAATCAAGCCTGTTTCAGAACCTCACACCGCCTTCTATCGACCACCTACCACCCTCAATTTAAAGGCACTGTGGGGCATTTCCACCGATAGCAGTGACCCATCAAGTTGGACGAACGTGTCAGCCCTCGTAGTGTTTGGTAATCCATCAGCCGTAAATGAAGACCCGGGTTCTTACTCGGCAGAAATGGTTTTCGGAACATCATGGGCCTACATCTGGACAATTTTCCTTCACAACATCCTAACCGTCGTGGCCGGAGCCATGGGACTACGTCGATCATCTACAGGAGACGATGGGCAAACCGAAATCAACTCAACCTCGTTCATCTTCCATAATTTCTCTTGCACCCACGATTTCACCAGACATGACGTCATTCGTCAGCATCTTCAAGTCACCTTCGATGGATCTTTTAGAGTTCTCAATCGAGAAGAAAGAGTCTTTATCATCGAACATAACGGAAAAGAAGATACCTCACCCACTGACCACATCGGGTTCACGTTTCTTGACATGGAGGCGCCATCAAACCGCAGACCCGTGTCGCAGCCAGCGCCCGCCTAACTACCTTTCGTTTGGTCAATTCACTTAGCTATCTCGAATGCACTCTACATAGCGATTTTCCTTTAGAGCTTGATGCCAGGCGTTCCTATGCAAACTTATGTCTTTTTCCTACTTTGTTCACAATGTAGTAAACGCCTGTTTTCTTTTCGTGCTGTGTCTCGTCTCAAAAAAATTTGCTTTATCCAATTTTGGAGCTTCTCCTGGTTTTCAACCAGGAGAAGCTCATTGTTGTGGATTTAAATGTTAAACATTTCGCCAACAGAACGCTATCAACGACTTAGATACACAACGTTAACATGCCTTTAACCATTACTGCTGCAAATCCCGTGGAATTACAAGAGTAAAATGGGTTTTGAGTTTCATCTTGGGAATCAGACATCCTGTCAGATTTCTTACATATTTGGCAATTCGTTTGTTTCGGAGTAACCCATTCTTCCAATATTCACTTCTGTCCTCTTTTGCAGACCGGTTCTGACGAAGCTGCTCGTCACAAGATGTCCCAGGACATGGAATTCGCCTCTACTGCCTCTGAGTCCATTTCCGACCAATCACAACGCGGAACCCAAGCCAAATCGCGTTCTGCTAAACCCCCTACTCCGCGTCGCCAGCGACCACCCCACGTGTCCTGTTCGTGGAATGATGGCGATCAAACTGAGGATTCATTTGTCTTCGACTTTGGTAGGAGTCAGTGAACTGCGTGTTTGAAGTCATGAAAACATGACCCGGTAACCCCATGTTGTTCAATTTTCCCTTTAATTAGCGCGACGACCTAACTGCAAAGTGCCAACCAGTCGCAATCACGCCTTCTTGCGTGGTGCTTCATCTGCCGTGGATATACGCAAGCCAGCCCACAGGGTGTCTACGGGATGCCTCCGACACCGTGGCAAGTCCATGGAGGTGCTCTCAGTGAACACGCCCCTGGATCTGCAGCTGCTCTACAACCTCCAGGATGAATTGTGCGACTTGCATGACCGGTTGCAGTATTCGGAAAACGCCAACGCTTCAAGGGTAGGTTTGCTCTTTAAGGGAACGTGTTTTCGCAATATGAAAATTGAATGACAGGGTTTATTTTCTACATTCCAAAAGCTGGAGGAAGCGATCCGCCACATTTCTCTCTTGGACAATGAACTCCGAAGACGCGGTCGTCGTGACAGCCCAAGTGACCGACTATGGCAGAGTGTGAGTTCATGCACAATCAATTTTTGTGTGTTCTAATTGAGTAAGAATTGATTTTTTTATCGAGTTAAGCCGATATCCCGGCTCTCCGGTACTCCGATACTTCACCGCTTCTAAGCCTTCATGTTTTTGAGTCACCAGCGCCTATATTACTTGTTTTGCATTTCAGCAACTTGCGGAAGGTCTAGAGGAGATGCGGCGATGTCGAGACAGCATCCTGGACCTACAGCGAAAGTTGACGCACGAAAAACCTCCCCTCTCACAGGGTTCGTTTATTGTCCTTGCGTAATATTTCATCTCCGCGAGATCGAATTTCACGGTGTCAGAGCGCACTCCTCGTTGTTTTTCTCATGCTCTTGGTGACGGTAAATGGTAATTTCGAGTGTGTGGTTTGTTCTTGAAGATCGTCAAGGACGCAAGGATGACATTGAGGAGATGCGGAGCACCATAAATTCGCAGGAGAGGGAGCTCTCGAAGTTAACCAAAATCGTCACTCGATTAACCAACGGTGGACACGGTAAGATCCTTTTTTTCTTGTTCTGTCAACCATGACAAATCCCGTTCGAATGCTTGTCTTGGCCAGACACTGCTTACTCTTTATCGCAATCTTTGTTACCATTCCTTATTGTGACCCTGGTCGCTACATGTTTGGGGTTTGATTAAGCCCTTCAACGTTCTCGAACGTGGATCGTCCAATAGTAGTCCGGGAATTACTCAACAGCGTTAATTCGTTAAATCGTTTTGCCATGAAAAAGCAATCTTTAACTGCTCATCTAGTCGTAGTTGAGTACTTACATGATGAGGTGCTACGCGTTTAAAACGATTGTCTTAAGGTTGTACTATGGTTGCTGGTAGTTTAGGATCGAATGGCACATTATCGTACTGATGCCATTGTCATACAACCCAAAGCCTCCCCCAACGCACCAATGGGAGAACGGTGACCTTGAGCCGCGCATTTTGAGCAGAATTCTTCCTCAAATTAAAACCTTTAAGAACAAGGGTGCGGTCAACCTGGTTGAAGTTTGCAGCCTCAAAATTTCAAAATCAGCACGTCTGGGGGTTTGATGGAAGGCCATCTAGCCCCTTGTTTTCAAAGTCGGATTTCTATCCAAAAGTGACGCTTGCTCACTACGATGCATGTTTTCTTGGCAGCCGATGAGTTGTGCGTTCTACGCTACTCTAAGCCTGTAGCAACTTTCTTTCTCCGCATCTGCTAGTCAGGGCTTCCAGAGGAGGTGAATTTTGGAAAAAATGTAAAAAGTTATGGCTAAACCGACTTCATGTCCGCTTGCACTGCCATTTCTCCTACATTATTCCAGTTTTATTGCGTTCCACGCTTTGACTGACTGGGCCAACTAGGTCAAAATTGAATTTTATCTGTTTCTATAAAACATGCAGTTTTATTGCTGAAATGAGCCTTTGGTATTTGAATTACACTCCCGTCTCGCATGAACCTCGGGTCTTTGCTCGTTACGTATCCCTGATTGCGCATTACAGCTTCAATAAATGCGCAATTAACGTGGTTCGTTTTGCACACTGATAAAATTGTATGAAGGGAAGGTGTGCTGTTGGTTATATTCAGTGGTGTTCCATCATTTATTTAAATCCAATCATTACAGAATTGAGCACTTTATCGTTCGTGTGGCCCCCAGCATAGGGTCTTGAACCACGCCGGGGCCACTGGGTCGAATCTGGTCTGGAAAGGACGTGGACACAATCGTTTACTTCAGAGCTCAACCAATTTGGTGTCGTGTGTGGCGTTTGCATGAGTCATAGATGAGCTAACATCGAGGCCTATGGGTGGGGGTGTTACGTTTGCCCGTAACAAAGAGAAAACCACTCAAATAGCGGTACCAGATCCACGCTAATACAAGAACAAGACCAAGGCTCGTGTAGAGAGCTTTAATCACTTCAGCCACGCGTGGAGTGAGTTGTCAAAAGTGAAACTAATTCGAGCTACGGTTAACCTTGACTCGATAAAAAGCGTGACAAAACAGGTGTCAGGGAATTAATGTGAATGGTGCCAAAGACCAACGATGAGCAATCTTGGGGTATCGTGAATCCCCAACAGGGCGTAATCGAGGATACTCGTTAGCGTTAATGAGGGGGAGGAGTTGAGGATCCGTGCGGCTGGCGACAAGCCGCGAAATGGGGACCCCGTGTCGGCGGCTGAAATGACCGGATTAACGAGTGTGAATCAACGCTATTCACGACACTGTGTTTTAGAGTTGGCTTTCTCCTCCACACCTTCTTTCTTCTTTTACCTCATTCACGAAAACCATGTTTCTTGAGCAGTCTAGAGTCAATTATTCTGCGTTCAAGAACACACAGCGTTGTTATATATCTCTGTTTTAGCTGAGATAACTATTTTGCAGGCTATACGCACACATATTTTTTTTTTAAAGAATCTTGTCAAAACATCCTTTTAAACCTCGATGTCACAAACTGTGCTTCCCACTACGGGCATGCCACGGCTCCTGTGTCGTGAATGTTTTTAATTCTGGCCAGGAAGGAAACGAGCTCTCCCAAACCATGCTTGATTTCCTGTGTTTAAATTTACCAGCCACTAGAAATTGGTGGCGAATTTGGCGTGGTAAAATCATCCAATGCTCCGGCAACTGTCTCGCCCATATACTCATAATAACTACTAGTGGGCTGGCGAAATGTGGTCCTGCTCTGTGTACAGACAATGAATTTTAATTGTTTGAAAACTGGACATTCTGTCCATTCACCTTCCGTCCTCATTTGACATCCATAGAACTTAGATTCATTTTTATCAAATAACCGAACAAAATGAGTATCCAAATCCTCGTCATTATTAGTGCTACAGATTTCATCACGCACTCTTCAAATTAGTTTCGTGGTTGGGGCTTTAAATAAAGAACGCGTAACATTACCGGTCAGGCAAGTTGGAATAATTTTCACGAGTTACAGAAGATGTGTAAAGCCTATCATTGGTTCGGCAGCCGTGTAAATAACAACAGCTTTGGCATTAACACATATCCCGGCAGGAATCGAAGGACACCTGGGGCAATCCGAAACGATGGGTACTTTATGCGGTTATCTTAAAACAAATATTCCGATAATAAGTAATATGAACACTCGCTGCTAGTTGAATTTTGACAAGTGTTCGGACAAAGCCATTGCATTAAAACAAGAATTTTGGGGAAATAACATGGCGCATGCTACAAGCAGGTTTCTTGTAATCAACACAAAACACAGAGACTAATGGATCTCCACGAATCGGGGTACTTTTAGTGGTGTGATGTGGTTTGTGGTGGATCACCCCGCTAAAACCATGCTCGTTTTCAATTGTTATTGTGCTAAACAGTTCATTTTTGACTGCTAATAATGATTCAATTCAAAAAATAGCAATGTGCTATTTGAAAGGCATGCCGCGAATATTGAATCGTCCCACTGCGTGAATTTTTGTTGAGGTTCATTCGTTGTGGACTGCACAAGTCGAGTCTAAATAGTCAGATTTAAGCATGTAGAGACCAGCTTTAATGTCATTCCTAGTTGGTTAAGATCAGGAGGGAAATGTTTGTCCGCTTGTCTCCCATTAACCGCGTAAAATGATATTTTAATGAACTCATCCATTCGAATCCTCAACGAGAATCGATATCTATTCCCCTTTTAGTTAAAGGGGGTTATCCGATGCCATGGCAACGTTAATGTGACTGCTTAAATGAGACTACTGAAGCGATTAGTGATCTGCGCCAGACGAAATCTTGAAAGACAAGTCTTGTCTGTGGTGTCCAGCAGCCAGCCAATCATTTACCTCAAGTGCCAGTCTCTTTGTACGGGCACAGACTAACACGGGGCGTTGACATAAATTACCACAATGTCAATGTGAATTAACACACTCCACTACGCCTCCTTCAGGTGCCCCTGCGGTTCTCGAGACCTCGGCTGGTGGTGACGTCACCGACGTAGCTCGTGGTGTCCCCACGGCGCGGCTCCTGTGCAATGTCGTCGAACATCACAACCTGGAGGACTACGTTCAACACCTTCAGGACACGATCGACAATCTGCGGCAGCACCTACAGCAGAAAAGGGTTTGTCCAAATGCACATCTCCTAATTCAGTACACACGTCTTTCTCATGACCCAAGTGGATTCTTCTTGTTGAAGCTAACTCCTCGGTTTCTAGTCTTCTTGAAGTGTCAGGAAGCAACTCGCAAATCTGGTTTCCATGTTTTTTTTTGGAGAATTTATCCTGACTATTCCATCGCACGGGTCTTAGATCTGGCTAAAGACTATGTACGTTGGCTCTCAGATTGCGATAGCAACTCATTGGATAATCTTTCATCTATCCAGTAGGATTGTGGAGACAGTAACTGAGACGAAACTGTTTGGCACACTGTTCTACCTTTTTCGGTTGTAAGTGTAGCTGCATTTTCATTTTACAGGCCGCTGTGAAGGAGCTAAAGACATCATCCACGGAATTGCGGACCCACTTAAAGGTACACCAAATACTTTCTCTTGCTCTATGCTCTCGATTTTCAAAGAAAAACTCATCAACGTTTTTTCGCCCAATCAGGAAAGAGATAATGAGCTGAGTCGCGTTAATAGTGAACTCCTGGCCAGTAAAGAAGAACTTCTGCGAGCGAATGAGAAAATGAAGTCACTCATTTCTGAAAGATCTATGTAAGCATTTGATACACTTTAGCCGGCGACCTCTGCCACCTGTTTGTGACATTTTACTCTCATTCAGGCGTGGCGATGCTCTTGACCGTCAAAAAGCAGATTCGCGGCGTCTTGAGTCGAAGATCGCCGATTTGACTAACCACCTTGGTGTTTTACGTGCAGAGGTACGCTTGCGTCGGTGGTGTGTGTGTACGTGTGATTTTGAGTGTGTGTTTGTCTAACAAGTGTGATTTGTGCCAGGTCGCTGAGGTCGAACGCCAGAAAGATCGGCGATCGGAGGAATTGGCCGAGATTTCTCGCCGTGTCGACGAAAAACGCTCTCAGGCGTACGTCCTTAGTGCGATTTTACCACCACGTTTCAGTTAACCCAGTGGGGTTTTAATTTGCGCCTTTTCGTGTCCAGTTTTTCAGCCTGCCCTACTGACACAGACGCCAATCTGCACTCGGACAGTCTACGGTCCGTTTCTCCCAAACTCGAACTGGACCAGTTGCGTCCAAAGGTAGGTGACTGATGGGTATTCCGTATTCTAAATTCAAATTTTCATTCAATTCATCCAGTTTTACTGTCACTTTTAACTGATAACCAAGCCAAGCACACAAACCTAAAAATAAACAGGTGTGAGCTAGCCAATCCGGTGAGGCGAAAACGTGCGCGGTCGATATCAATTTGTGTGCACTGCAGAATTGGAACAAACATCGATTTTAATCTTTAAAATGTGGAATTTTGTGGAATGCGGATTTCCGAAATAGCTGTTTTCATGGCACACGTTTACTAATGTGAATAAAATTTTGAATGCCTGAATTGTTTTGCTGAGCAGATTGCAGAGGCCAAGGCGAGGATGGAAACTCTTTCCCGCGAAATCGGCGTTCGAACAGCTGAACTGGAGCTGCTGAACTCGAAGAAGTCGCAGGAGGCCCGGCTTGCTCAAGTCCAGCTTGAAAACACACAACGGGAACTGCAACAGAAATTAAATGAACTCAAGGCCGTCAAGGTAGGGTTTTGTTCTTGTGGTGGCAGCCAATCATCTTTGTTCTTGAGACAACCAGTCAGCGTGAAGTCCCCCCTGTCTAACACCTTGTTATCGCAATATCCTTTACTACTGCAGGACGAGTTGTCATTGGCCCGTCAAGAACTGGAACGTGTGGCGTCCGAACGTCATTCCACGCAACAAACTGGCTCTCTGCACCAAGTAATTTGCCTATTTTTCTGTCAATTATGGTGTTATGTGGGCGTTTTCACCTGAAACACTCTAATGTTGCTCTTGTTGATGTTTCTGTTGTCCTCGATTACAGACGTCCGGTACTGTTCCTGGCATGCCTACTAACCCCACTGACCTCGCGCAGCAATTGCAGACACTTCAAGGCGACATTGCAAGGCGAGTGGATGAGCTATCGCGTCTGGACTCACAAAAGGTGGCCAAGGTAAAGTCATTGTGTGACGTGGTAGCGCTAGCCAATTAAAAACGTGTCAGCATTATGCGGTGCTTCTGTGGCTTTCAGAAGGACGAACTAGCCCAGCTGGAGAAGTTGATCACTGAGGCCAAAGACGAGCTCACCTTGACCAGAACGAGGGGCCAAAACGCAGAAGCTCAATTGGCCTTGAACCGGCAAAAATGCGAACTTTTGAAGGGTCAGCTTGAGGCGTTTGAAGCCAGTGTTGAGGTCAAGCAGAAGTAAGTTGTTTCAAATCGGCCTCATTAATTACACTGGTGCACTATGCCGAGTGGGTCTGACTGTCTCCTTCAACGGGTCATTTATTGAACTGATGGAAGATAATTGAACTGACTGTTGTGCTCATCAACGAATAGCGCTAAGGGTGGAAGAAGCGGTCTGCCGTGATTGGTTAATGAGAGGTGATGAAATTTGTGTGAATCGACTGCTGTGCTCATGAACGAATAGCGCTAAGGCTAGAAGAAGTGGTCACCTAGGATTGGTTAACGAGAGGTGATTAGATTTTGGTGAATTGACTAAAGAAATTTAAGTGAATTGACTGCTGTATTCATTAACGAATAGCGCTAAGGGTGGAAGAAGTGGTCAACCGTGATTGGTGAATGAGAGTTAATGAAATTTGAGTGAACTGATTGCTGTACTCATCAACGAATAGCGCCAAGGGTAGATTAATTGGTAAAACATGCTTGGTAAATGTGAGGTGATTAAATTTGAGTGGATTGACTGATGACATTCGAGCGAATTGACTGCTGTACAAAAGTAGAAATAGCGCTAAGGCTAGAAGATGTGGTCAACCATGATTGGTTAATGAGAAGTGATTTAATTTATGTAAATCGACTAGTGAAATTTAAGTGAATTGACTGCTATACTCATTAGCGAATAGCACCAAGGCTGGAAGAAGTGGTAAATTATGATTGGTTAAGGAGAGGTTGTTAAATTTGAATTAATTGACTGCTCTACCCATCGGCGAATGGCACTAAGCGTGGAAGAAGTGGTCGATCATGATTGGTTAACGATACATGCTAGGCAGACAGCTGAGCCTCCCGCCATTTTTGCAGATTGATCTCCGATCTCTGCGCATCCTCGGAGTCACGCGTTTCGGCCATGGCAGCTGAGATCAGACGCCTCTTGACTTCGGCTGAACAACTGGCCAATGAGAGGACGACTCTAAAGGCCGAATTAGCCCAACTCAAACAGCAGGTGCAAGCACGCACGTCGGAGTTGCAGGGGCTTGAGTAAGTACCCTGCCTTGACTTAAAACTCTACTGTTTGAACGATGTGTAAGATGCCTCCTTTTTCAAGGGAAGAAATAAAATCATCTCGTCAAGGCCTCGCAAAGACCGCAGCAGCTAACTCTCGGCAAGCTTCCGCAGGCCTCAACGCTAAAATCTCACGAGCGAGCGATAAACTGCGAGCGCTCAACGAGGTAGCTTCTCGTGGACAGTTTGTATTCATGAAATACATACTACTTAACTTTAATGAGTAACCCTTATAGTTTAATAAATTTATTGAGTACCAAAAGTTAATTCGATAAACAGCTGAAAAGCCTTTTGTTCGGTTGCAATTTTGCGAAATATTCTAGTTTCTCTGATTTTGTGTGATTGAATTATTCCACTTACAAACTTATTAGCCTTCCTGTAATATCTTGTGCCTGTCAATTTATTTCAGAAAATCTCCCATCAAACAGCTGAGTCGGAAAAGTTGTCACAAGAAATCACGACAAAGCACAGGCTGGTGCAGGAAATGGACTCGAGGCTTAGCTCGGCTAGGGTACGGCCTTCTTTAAATTTCATTGTACCGTATAAACAACAAAGGTGACAACAGTAAACAGTGAATCACAAATGCAATACACAGCAGGCTCACCACTATGGGCACAATCTGGTAGCGTTTGTGTTGAGTGCTGCTCGTCCTTTTGGCCATTTGTAAGTCGCGCTCATTAAGAACCAGAAGTAAAACAACGGACTATTTGGGCTATTTGTAAGTCGCACTATTTTGGCTATGTGTAAGTCACGCTCATTAAGAGGCAGAAGTAAAACATCGGACGAATCAGGGAGAATGAATTAGGAGCCAATCACGTGCGTTTGTATTCCTTATATTTCAGACCAATCCCAGCGAATTGGACGAGTTGAATTCGCGGTTAGAGGAGATGGGAAACCTTCTTAGAGAACGAGGTAACCTCTTGTCCAGTTCCATAGCTAGTCATTCCGCTGGATGGTTTTATATTTTGAAATCTGTGGTGTTTTTTTGACCACGTAGAACGCGAAATTGAGGATCTGATAGCCGACAAAACCAAACTCATCTCCGACCACACCCAGCTGGCGTCGGAGCTGACGGAGACGCGGGCGCAGCTGGACGTGGCGCAGCGCGCCTGCCGGAAGCTCAAACGACGCACCGCCAAGGAGCTGGCGGACCTGGAACGCGTCGCCGAGGAGCAGTGTAACCGAGCAAGCCTCTTTGCAGAGGAGTTGGCCGTGCTCCGACGCAACTACACTTACCTCCAGGCGCGGGTACGTTTATTGGCTGTGTCACCCGATGTCCCACGTTGTTGGCATCTAGCCTATGGAGGCTGTTGTTGACGCCTTCCTTCCCTCCTCCTCTTCTAAGGTTTCCACATTCGGGACGCTGATGGACGAAGTGTTTCTGGTAAATTGGACGTCGCACTTTCAAATCAACTCGCACACACACACACACACACACTCGTCAAGTGTGCCCTTTACTTCACTCTTATGAGACCACTTTTGCATGCTTCGCACTGGACACCTCACTTATGAGTCCTTTTATTCATGTAAAATGGCTAGTCAGACAATCGGAATGTTGACCCCAGCACTTAACCCTTCAAATGTGGCGGAAAGATAAAGGCACTACTGATGTTATTAAGTAGGTGTTTATTTTTTAATCGTTGATACAAGACTGCCGGCAAGTCGTGGTTGATGGACGTGACACTAGCACTACCGATCCCGTTTCAATACTGACTTTTGTTCAACCACAGAAACGACCTGGTGCTGTTTTATTCACTAAATAAACGGCCATTTCACACTCGACGCATTTTAACTCAGCATATACATGTTTGTTTCGCCGTATAGATTGCTGCGAACGAGGAAGTCTCTGATCGTGAGCGACGCCTTCAGGAGGCTCTTTCCGTTATCAAATCAGAACTCAGATCTTCTAGTCCTACGGCTAATGGAAACGATGTTGACCTTCGACATTTTGGTGTTCTAGATACAGCCGTACGTTGGAACATCTTTGCCCCTTTAACTATTTCCATTTGTGAAATGCACTCTACTTACATTTAATGAGTAACCCGTATAGTTTAATAAAAATTGTTTGAGTTTCAACAACTGAAAAGCCTTTTACTCGGTTACAAGTTTGTGAAATATCCTAATATCTCTCATTGTGCGCGATTGATTTATCCTGCATACAAACTTATTAGCCTTCTTGTAATATCTTAGCGCTTGGCAACTTCACCGAATGATGTCGAGTCGGTGCGTCACCAGCAGCGAGAAGAACAGCAACAATTTTCCGCCCTAGCCAATCATGAAGCGACCTTGAACAAAACTATCCAACCCTCATCCTCGTCTGGCCTCGCATCATATCTTACTCCACAATCCTCCTCTGACGATCGACTTCTCAATCTACAGGTCAGTCTTCGTTGTTACATAATGAAAACAGTTTCTCTATGAGCATTTATCGATTGGTTATTGATCTCGTTTGGGCATACAGGAACAGACAAAACGTCAGGTGCCCGAGCATCGATCGAACGTGGGCTGGGATCGGTCTGTCGATTTCCGCTGTGAGTTGCAGCGACTCAAACACCAGACTGAGGCCAGCATGTCGTCCGATCCTCGTCGATAAGTTCGAGTTTAAAACCATTCCCTCTCATTACCCCTGTACATACCTCTCTCAAGGTCAGTTGCACGATTTAAACAACTTTCTACTGTCATCATCATCAGCATCAATCGTATCTTCTTCAAATCTTGTAGGTTTCCCACTCTACAACTACTCGTGTGGTTCGTCACCAGCAATTCACTACTGTATACATCCTTACTTATTTCTGAATACGTACTGATCAGCGCCTAATACTGTCTTCCTTATGTACCCCTTTTGTTCTGTTTTTGTTCATTTTGTACTACTTAATTAATTCAAGTAAAGTGAAATGTAGAAACATGCTAACATTATTTGCAAGTTCGTTTGCGCACACAAACACACACACGTGCTCACACTTGTGATGTCCAACGAAGCCCATTAGGGTTTGAGCACCCTCAGATGTTGAACTGAAGACCATCAGATCATCGGCTTCCGTAATTCTTTAATGCGTAAACACAGATTGTCGTCGGCGCGACTTCTTAAAGACTTGTTTAACGTCGTTCACGGCGACACTGATCAGTCCCGGCAGCTTCACAGCCTCGGTCTGGAAGGTAGACGGATAGGTATTAAAAAACAGCAAAAGCATGGTTGGTAGCGCACTTTTAAGCCAGTAAAATCGATTAGAACCATGGCCTCAGATTGGTGGCATGCAGGACAAGAGCCAAATCTGATTGGATACTGGGCCAGTGCTGTAGCTTATTACCAAGAGGACAAGTCTCGATAATAAAACAAAGACAAATCCATTAAGGAAGTAACCGAGTTTTAAAATAAGTCGATACTCTGAATAAGAGGAGATGAAATGTCCTACCCCCGTTCCTGTTTCCCTCTCCAGTCGATATCGATTATCATTGGCCTCAATGGTTTGATGAAGGGTGAATTCGGAAATTTGAGGTATTCCAGTGAAACGGAGGTCCAAATGAATCAGGGCCTGGTTAGAGGCTATGCATTCCTGCAACTTTCTTCCGGTTGCCTTGAGCAAAAAAATCGGCATTCTTTATCGTCCAGTGATTGGCGATTTCGCATCACCCACGCAACTTATCTGCAATCACAGGCTGAGAACCCACCAATGAGATCGTCCTTTCTATCAAGCAACCAATTACGGCTAGCTTAAGCCTCTATGGAGCTTATTTGTAGTTTAATTTGACAAAAGTGTGTAAATGTTAATAATAAGGAATTATAGGAAACACTGCTTCCTTGACTGACGAAATCAGTGACTTTTTTATATTCTTATAATACATGCCTTCAGATCCGCCTAGGTCACCTCGGCCTATGATTCTAAATATGCTAAGCTGTCATGACAAATTCCTAGCGTCCAACAATCACCTCCTTCCAACTTAATATATGCAATTGGCAACATCATTTGGCCAATAGTCTCCCGGTAAAGACCGACTGATAAGTTAGACGTGCAGATAGAAAAGCTTTGTCAATTCCTTTAACCAAAGGGGACATTCGTCAGAAATCTAAGTAATTTAAGACCGTCAAAGGTTTGTTATTTGAATCTAAACCTGCGTTCTGATATCACCACTCCTTTATTCATCGCGATGTACTCCGTGTACAAATACACAGGTTGCCCGGATACAAATTCGAGTCCATACCAGGACCTCAATTAGTCAGAGTATAGATTAATTAACTGTACTCCTCTACCACGGGTGTGAATCACATCCGTCGCAAGCGATTGCTTTAAAACCACATACTACTAATAAGCGTTAGCAGCTTCTAGACGCCAACTTACCGCACCGATGGTGTTGTTGGAGAGGTCCAATTTCCGGAGGCTGGAGTTGTGTGTGAGGACTTGTCCGAACATGAGAATGGCCGGGTCTCGAATATCGTTGGTCGACAGATTCAGCTCCTTCAGCGTAGTATTTCGTAAGAGAGACTAATTACAAAAAAGCAACAACAACGATTGTCAAGTCGCGAATCGAACAGCTTAGGGAAAACACTCGGGCGTGAGGAACTCGTCAGAAAGCTGGTCGTTTTTCTCAGGACTGAGCTGTTGCCAAAGTTGATGACTCACTTACGAAAATTAGTGGCTCTGTACTCCGACTACTGTCAGTTATAAATCAGATTCATTGTGATAAAAAACGGGACCTAATCTTAGTGCTTTAATAAGGAGCTGGGTCGTTGATGCAATCGCTGAAACCCAAGCACCATTTTCAAGTACTTGGGTGCACCTGAGTTTTGGAAAGAATCGGCAACTTCGGTTTTTACCGAATTAACACACTAGGACCAAAACCATCATGCATTCCAGTGAAAGTAGCTCTTGGCGCTAATCCGTCCTTGGCTGGATCGTCAGGTAAGCTGAAGCCTTAACCACCTTCAGCAAGTTATTGTGTGGGTAGGGCTTCACTCGCCTTAGCAATCGCAATGGCGCCGTCATCTCGGAGTTTGTTGAGTCGGAGGTTGAGTTTCCTGAGGAATTTCGCATTCTTCGAGAGCGCGTGTCCAAGGGCCTCTCCGCCTTCAGGCGTGATGCGGTTATTCAGGAGGTCCAGACACTCGATCTTGCTCCGGCCGTTGATGAGTTTGCCGAGGGCGCGCGCGCCCCAGTCGGAGATGAGGTTGTGCGAGAGGTTGAGTACCTTCAGCGAGGGGTGGTCGAGCAGGTGACCCACGAGGACTCGGCATTTCTCGCAGTCCACGCGGCTACTGCGAAAGCACAGAAGTACACGCCATTTTACTCGAGGTTAGGTGTGCATGAAGGCGAATCAATAAAGTCATTTGCAAGCAGGCTTGTCTGAGGACGATCAACATCAGTGCATTGGCTCCAACGACTAAGCGGTTATCGCGCACCGCAAACCGTCTGTACAATTTGTCCTGTTATTTTAGTGTGACCTTTTGTTTTGCTATACTGGTTTTGTTGGAACACTATTCAAAATCTCCAATAGTGGTTAAGGCGTACATTTATTGTAGGCATTTACTGCTTACTCTGCTTTACCGCGAATATCAACTATTGATTATACTACAGGTGTCCAAATTCATCGCAATGGAATTTGTCGTGATTGGTGTTAGAATACTCGATTGTGTGTATAAATGTTAGCGGGGTTTACGAGTGCTAACGCCCAATCAGATTGCAGCTCATCTGGCTTGACAGATCTCAACTTTGATGGAGACAAATGGACGTAAACAGCTGTGGCGCAGCTGATAATAGTGAAGTGAGCCGGTTTCTGCTTTCTCCGACACACTGCCTCAACCGTTTTCACAGTTTGCTCGTCAGCCATGCAGATCCGTCCACTGTGCACGCAACCCTGACAGCTGTCAAGGTGAGCCAAATTTTGATTGGTCAACAACCGCATTAGTCGTGCGCAAACTGTGAACTCACGCACATCACGACACTACTTGGGCACTTAGGAATGTATCGTGCGGTAACGATGGCATTAATCATTCAAAGTGTTACTTTACTAGTTGCAGAACACTCAGGGAGGTGTGGGCCTTGACGGCTTTGGAGAAGCTGATGCAGTCTCGCCGCGTGAACTGGAAATGTTCCCACTCAAAGTCGAGACCGACGTTCCTGATTGTGTACTGGACACTGAGGTGAGTCATTTGGGTTAGCTTGGCGATCACAAAGCCCAGGTCGAGGTGGTCGATTCTTGGCGATGTTTCAACGACCTCCTCGCTTTCTTCGTTGTCACTGTCTGCCTGAGAGCTGGCAGAACGGGGCCTCTGGCAAAGACGACAGGACAGAATGTGGCAGTGATCAACGCTTAAGAGGGTCAATGTGGAGGACAATAACCTGAGAGCAACTACAGTCCACCACCTCCTCATTATTTGGCAGTACAAAATGTTTTTGCGTGTGTCACAGGAGGCTACTTTACATGGAGGTCTTTCAAGACACGACCTCAAATGCCCTCTGACAAAGCACGTCAACTACGTTGAGTCAGCTGTGTCTACTCCGCTTCTGACCTTGGCAACTTTCTTGGAAATCTACGTGCGGAAATCAGACACCATCTAGTGGCCGACCCAGTGTGACCTTGAGATGCACTTCGAGAAATCTGGAATTGTTGGCCAAACCGAAATGATCAATTAGTCCTTCGGCACGTTCACGGTTTCAATAATTTCAAAATTTTATCCTCCGTACCTGATTGCAACAAACTTCCGGACGCAAATAATTAAAGTTTTGGGACCCTGTCACACATTGCAAAGGGTGAATTAAAGTCAACATGACTCACAACTTCCTTTGCCTTCAGTTTAACAGGAGGCAGCATTTCCTTAATGTCAATTCGTCGAACGTACGGCGCGGCGAACTGCAGCGCCTCTTCAATCCACACACAGTAGGTCTGACCAGGCACGTATTCGTGGATCATTTGTTCGAGCTGCTTCTCGAAGAAGGCCTGCTTCCACGAGTTGTCGTGCTTGATGACGTCAACCACGGGCCAGCGTGATAGGCAGATGCGCTTCCAAAACAGTTCGTCCCGAATCGTGTGTGCAATGACCTTGAGGGGAATGTCGGTTGGTATGGAGTCCAGCACAAAGCGCTTCTGGTCATCGGTAAGATAGGGAAGCGCGCTGTAGTTAACTTAAACGGAAACATGAGTTAACTTGTGTAGTTGACGGAGAATACGCAAAGTTACCTGTAGTGCATTCATTTGACCAATATATTTTGCAACAAGTAGAGGCCTCCTTATTGGCTAATTATCAATGCCGTAAAGAATTAAATTTAAATAGACAAGGAATATAGGCTGTTTTGCATTTCGTCAATGATTGAAATACAGTTACCACCAGAGGCAACAATAGTAAGCTTTTATTGGCGCAGCTTATTCAAAGCAAATTTCGCAGCTCCTTAGTGTAACCTCTCACTTTCAGCCAGACAGTTGTGAAGAAGTGCTAATTGGAAAAACTTCTAAGCCTGCGGTCAATGCAACGATTTTTGCACCTCTTTTGTAAATCGGCAATGGCAATCTCCCAAAACATGGACAAATTAAAGCATACTTTAGTTCGTTAGACTATTAAATCCCTAATAGATTTCATAACACAGTGAAAAAAAAGTGATTTTGCTAGTAATATGGGCAACACTAGCGTGGTATTTAAGCTTTTAAGAATAGCTATTTACGGTCTTCAGAAGGTAAGTGATGAATAGAAGAAAGATTTGGTTTATTTGTCGCTGTTAAAGCAATCGTGGATTGCTCATTAGATTTGTTCATGGTGTACAGTTCACACGAACTAGCTATCAACAAAATAAAAATCCTCGTCAATTGACATGCTTCTGGTACTTAAAGGGTTTTTAAGACATTTACATGAAAATTTTCACGACCTCAGTTACCCATGGATTTCTCTAAATATTTATAGGACATGAAGTGGGTGCAGTATAAAATAAAGCTGCAGGTAGCAGTATTTCTGAGCGAATTATTTTACATATACTTCAAAACCTGGACCCCTCAATCAGATAAAGTGAGTTTAGATACAATGATATCCGATTACTAAAATGTTACCCATTCGAAATTCACTTAGTAGTGTCTAAAGCCACTAACAAATGAGATTTTTTAAGAAATTTAAGTGTAATTGGTAAAACTGAAATTACGAAGTTATGCATACTTTACCGGCCAATGCGACTTGAAACACCTATATCGCGACATTTAGACCTGGCACAATCTCTGTAATATATTGTTTGACAAACGTAAAATTAAGAAAAGTGTGAGCAAATTTGATTTAAGTTAAATCAGTAAAATTTTACATGTTATAATCAATGACCTTCAGTCATGGGATTATAATTAATATAAAATGTAAACTATAATAATTATTTAAAAAACCTACAAAAATAACTTCCGGCAACTCTGATTAGGAAAATTCTAAAATGAGTTTGTTTGTGTGTTTTAGAATTCAAAACAACATTCAACATCAGACTAAACTATAAAAGCACCTAAAAACTACAAAAGTCCGAATTTTTTTTCAATGAATTCACAAATTCACAAAATGAATGAAATTGCTATGCCCATTCGCAGTATCCATAAAATTACTCACATGAGAAATTTTCAATGATATGTTTTATAACTAGCTCAATCAATGAGGGTACTGTTTCGCGGTTATACGTCTTGTCCTCAGCAATGATCCGCCTATGAGCGGGAAGAAACTCGTCCTTTATTGAATCAGATCGCTGAAACCTTTCACTATTTTTTTTGATGTTAAACGAAAATGTAGAGTTGCCACGAAGAACGCTTTTAGACCGCACAGCAGTGTCAGTAATGTTAGATGGGTTTTTATCTGATTCCATATTTAGCACAATTTGTTGCGACATTCGAAAATTTGTGTTTTGTGACTATGACTACCAAGGTTGAATTTGATTACATTCGAGGTCACTAAAAGTATTCGTGTTTAGGAACGTATGTAATTAAATTAAATAATAAACTTTAATTGCTTTTTTACAATATTTTAAGTTAACCAGACATACTGTCATAAAATAACTTATAGGAATATTTCAGAGCTCCATTTTGAAATAAATATTTAGGATCATTTTGACTTAGTTAGTTATAAAAATGTTGACTGTAAAGATTCTCTGGAGATGTGTTGGCTACATATAACTACTGTCAGACCTTAGCACCAATGCTTTTTGGTAACAACCTTAACATTAGCAAAAACCTTTTCGAAAATAGATGCAGAACGTCATAGATTTTAGTGAATTAGTTTTCCTCTCTCTCAGCCTCAATAAATTTGTTGCATGATTATGTTTTTATGTTCGCGCGTTTAGCCTCTTTGTATTATCTAATCGTTGCTTTACACACATATAACATTAAGGCAATAATAAGGGGTCAGCTGTTTCCTAAATTTTCATGCGTGCATATATGGATTTTTTTGTTTTTATTGCTGTGTCTTTCAGACTTGAGTGATATTGGATCGCGCCTGGAGCTCACAAAATATTGTGCCTTTGCGTGCTTAATGGCATGTGAGTGTGACCACCAGCCAGCTAGTTGCATTAATGAATAGAGAAGTCATATTGCTAAACGCCTTGTCTTAGTATCGTTAAGTCAGATGCAACATGAGAGGCATAACTGGTGCTGTAGCGACCAAAACCGTACAACTGCCCTACTGACTGCGTTCTATATGCCATTGGTGTTTATTATCTATTAGTGACTTTGCTTGGCTGAGCTGATTATTAAATCCAAAATAAATGCCCCTAGCCACGATGGTGGATTAAGGTGGGTGGCTGCAGGTTAAGTGTTCTGGTGAGACGGATGTCAACACAGCCAGTCTTTTTACACCAACATTTTTATGCAGGGGCTACTGTACTATCCATAGCATAGTACCTACAAAACAGAGAGAGATGGCCGTGTATGATGACCACCAGCGTTTAGAAGGAAAATTAGTACTAATCGTGAAATTGCCTGATCTTAGCAAATTATCAATCAAGTTATCGATAAAATCAAGTGAAATTTGTCATTCTAGTAAATTAATGTTAGCACGACCAGTTCCAGCGCAGAATCATGTTAAATCGTCTAACATCTGGCCAAACGGGCGCCTGGTTCTTTTGACCAATGAAACTCTTCAAATTCAAACTGGCATTAAATCCAATTCAGATGAGCTTGTTCGATTAATCAGTCCACATTGAGAGGGTGTGGTTTTGGTAAAGCCCAGCATCCATTGTGCTTCCTGCAAAGAAATGTGGGAAGTAGCTTTAAGTTTCGAGGCGTTATATGATTTCCTGATATTTGTTTGTCTCAAAACGGGAATCAGGACATTTTAACAGTTGGCTTCTAACAAGATACCATAATACTTGAGCTATTCGCAAATGCTCGGCCTGATAATCTTTTGCTTAAAAACTCTACTATTTAATGTTTAGCGTCTAGTATTTGTAAGTGCCGGTGTTTAGACGAAATACAAATGTGGTAAACGCTTTCAAATTGATCTCTTTTCCGCCACGATAGTGACGCGTCATATTATTCGCGGTTAATCTACCAATCCGAAATAAGTCTTGTTGATAAGGATTCCTTGATAAATACTGAAATGCATTCTAACAAAGCCATATGCTGGTGCCCAAAACAGAATTTGCCATCGAAATTCAATTAATACTTGAACTTTTTAGAGGGATGCAAAATGTTCAAGTATAAATTGAATTTCGCAAATTTTCCCTTTTAGTGGTTTTATCATAAGGCAAAAAACTCCTTACATCTAGTGTGAAGACGGTTCCCTTGGAGGTGACATCGGGGGTTTGCGGGAAGAAGTTGTGAGGCTTCAGCATAAACCCCACTTGGCTTCCCTTGTTCGACGTCTGAGGTATGTCTTCGTTGACAGGGATGTGAACGAATCCCACGCTGATCCACATCACTAAGTCCTGCAGAGTGAACAGTACGGTGTGGCTCACCTCAGAGTGAATCTACGAATCTCTTGCAAATTTAGAAAATATCACAAAAAAAAACATTTCTCAAGTTTGTAGCCGGGTGACTGATAGACACGCTTCTTTTATTGTCTGAGCTACTAGTGTCAAGTTTGTTTTTGTTAACGGTCAATGATTTCGACCGCAGTTTCAAATTCGACTCTCAACTCGCCTGCTCGAGCCATAGTAACACGTTTGAAAATGTCAGTTAATGTGGTTTTCACCTAATTTCACTGTCCCCATTTGTGCCAGGAGAGATTTTAGCAGCGTTTGTAACAGAGATGCTGCTTCTACCTTAATGGAACGGATAGTCAAAGACCAATGCTTCAACGCCTTTCACAATGGTAGTGTCGTGAATCCTGTTTATTCAACCCCCTAGTCCAGTCACTCCACCTCCTGCACAGAGTTCCCCTTGTCGCAGCCGGCCGCCAGCCACTCGATTCCTCAACTCCCCCCTCATCCACACGGATAATCATCTTGGAGTATCCCCACACCTAGGTCTCGATGTTAGCGCATGTTTGACTCACACATTCGAGCTATAAATACACACGCACAAACCCCACACACTACACAACGACACCAGCCTGCCTGAGCTCTAAAGTAAATGGTTGTAATCGTCCTCTCCGGCCTTTTCCTTCATCGCGGGAGGGAGGCAAGCGTGATCGGGCCAGAGTTAATTCCATGGCCCCAGCGTGGTTCAAGACCACATGCTGGGGCCCACAACAGTATTACTTACTGACCTTCATTAAAGGTAAAAAGACGAGTCGATTACTCAATAGGACTCATCTAGACAGAGAAGTTAAACTCACAATAAAGAGTTAGTTAACTGTGACGCGATTAATTTGATAATTGATTATCAACTCTTGTATTTTTGCCCTGGTACTGATCGTTGAATCTGTTTTCTACATCAGTAGTAAATTCGCCCATATGTCTTTATCAGGCTAGAAAGCAAAGATAACCTGCCTCTATTTATGGTGATCAAACTGATGGTTTAGCGTTTTTTGAAGTCTCCTTCATGCAAGTGAGTAAAACGAAGGCCCAAATCATTTGTGGGATTTAAATGCTAGCGACGGTATGGTCGGAAATTAATGCAACAAGCTAAAATCTGAATACCGCCTTTACGGCCAATCCACATTCAAGGGATCAACCTTAACATTTGTGGAATAACGAGATTTGGTGTATAAATTCCTCGTTTAACGCACTTCGCATGCTGGCCACACATGCATTGTGACACATGCCGTGCTTTTCACATCTGCTCCGTTGCTTAATCAACCTATCACGCCAACAGAGCGCCATTTTTAAACTTCCTCTAGGTGAAGCTTCCATTGGGTCAACGCACGCCGGTCTGGTCTGTTCTTTGCCCTCTCTTATCCTCTCGTCTTCTTACTGCCACCCTCTCTCCATCCCCGATCTAACCATGTGTCCAGCTTTTGAGCCGCATTTGGTTTGTAAGTGATCAGACGTGTGAACAAGCAACTAAAAAATCGCATGAACTTTAACGCCGCCACCAGTGCTACTTGACCTCCCTTACGGTCATGCTATAAAGTTGCGAATATTTGAAAGTAGGCCATCATTGCATGAAAATCGCCGCCTTCACGAATGTGGCACTTAGCTGAAAACCAATCCAGCGACTTACCCCACTAAGTGTCTCGTTCGTGCTAAATTTGTCAAAGTCGACAACCGGTGATGTCAGGTCGATGCCGTTGTAGATCGACGAGGCTCTAAGTTCGTCCTTTTTGTACCTCGTAAACCACAAGTTGTGCCTACAACAAACCCAAGGATTACATCGTGGATGCTACCTCGACGGAAACCGATGCTGCAAAAAGTCGGATTTCAGAATTTTGTGTGTTTGAATCGCCGAATCAATAATCTGTTCGACTTGTGAATTCCTGGGGAGTTCAGATCACACTTTTTGCTCACCTAATCCATTGAAAGGATCGCGAGGCATTCCACGAGACAAGCGAACGAAGAGGCGCGAAGTTAATGACTTGAAGGCATTTAGAGCTGCTGGCCAGACAGAGGGCGTTTATAGTTGTTGGATCGGAACCCGTCACACGGCCCTCCTTCTCCGTGGCCAACCGCCTCACCTGCATGTTCATCCGATCGATTCCGCGATTTTCGTATTCCCCAAACGCACGAGTTTGCTCGGCCTGCAAGATTTATCAAGGGTAGGAAGTATCGACAGCCTGTCGTATGGGACAAAAATGCCTTAATCTCCCAGTCTGCCAAGCCAAAATTCAGTAACTTGTGGACAGCCAGACAATGAGGAAAAGAAATTTGAATGCAAAAATGGGACACGAACATGGTTGGTATTGTGTCGAGGTTTGTAAAATTACCATCCATTAAGTATTAGCAAGGACAGAAATCGAATGATCGAAAATGGAATAAATTTCCTAATGGCTAATAAGTAGAATTCGTAGAACATCTTAATAGCATCTTGTTGGGTACGAAAACGACAGGATGGACATTATATGTCCGAAAAACGTAAATAAATAGATGTTTCGAGCAAGGTAAGAATAGGGTTACACGTCCGGACACGACTGCTTACCCTGTTATCATCTCCGAGTGCATCGACAAAGAAGAGGAAGTGGTGTGTGTGAACGTTGAAGCGTAGGTTCATCTGCGGAAAGATGTGGCCAAACGCCAGGTCATTACTCTTCACCACATCCACGTGAATGTAGCCCGATGGTACGACGTACGTTGAGAAGCTCCCAGTTGGCGAAAACACATTCACGAGGGCATACTGGTAGTTGAATACAGCCGCTTGAATCACCACGTAGAGGGACTCCTCTGTGACCCCTATTCCGTAACCCATGCTACCGACTGTGTCGTGTCTGACAAAGGGCTGATAATGCCGACGCAGAGGTCCATTGTGAACATCCGCAGATGATGCGTAGATGCAGATACCGTTTTGGCGGGATATTGGGCCTTCGGACACACTGGGGATGATTGGGACAGAGAGGTACACGGCGTCTAGCGGACAGTCTAGCCCAGGCGACAACTCCGAGGTCAACGAGCCAATAGCGTACATCGACTCAATTGAGGTCATGGCTCGCATAAAGGGCGTATCACCACCGTAACTCGTGACAGTCTCATCTAAGCCAACTTCGTGTATCACCAAGCGTCCGTTGAAGTGGATGTTGTAGAACCTCAGCCCGGTGTCGTACAGGACTCCAACGTCAAAGTCCCATGGGCCGTAGACCACGTGCTTGTTGGTTACACTGCCTGAAAAGGGTTTCGTAGGAGTCTTGTCTCTCCGGCTTAGCTGCCGAGGGCACAGTTTGTCACCGAGTTGGCTTACGTGGGTCTTCTCGAAGAAACTCTTGAACACTTTATGCCGAACAAAAAGGTGCGGCCATTGATGCTTCGCCGCTAGGAAGGCGTCCATGTTGTCATAGTGATGACCTTGTACCTGTAGTCCAATTAGGCGCCAATCGTCGAAGTTGTTTTCTGTGTGATCAATCTATAATTGGAAGTGCACTAAGTGAATAGGGACGGATGTGGTGGTGGTGGTGGTGGTGACGGCGAACCGAAACCTCATAATGCAGACATTTTCATAAACCATCCAATTTGATGTTGGTATGAACTTGCTGCAGGAAAACTGACTCCGTGATTTCATCTGAGTTTATACGCATTGATGACGGAAACTTATACCATTATATTGAGCGTTTATTGGATGACCTTGAGTTCCTAGTAGCGCACCAAAGTTGGGTCACATGGGGATAGAGCAATCTTAGTAAAAATAATCGGAAACCAATAATTTGCATTTTCAGAGATGATAGACGCAACATTTGTCATCTCATTTACATATAACCATTTGTTTTACTTAACTATTTTCGTTGGAATATTATTCAAATCCACCGTCAGCAGTATGCTTCTCTGTTTCTTGTGTACTTTTGCGATTTAACCACTAATTTTCAAGACTATAAAGCCTCGTGACACCAACAACGGCAGTTTAATTTTACGGACAAAATCTCATGGGGCATTAACTCGACGTCGGTACATATTTGACAGCATATAATGAGCTCGTACTTGGCATTTTCGGCTAGAATTTCAAGTCTTTTTCACACAAGCTTCTTAAAGTACCTTCACAATTACGTTAAAATCACGTGTTTTAGTGAAAATGGTGATTACTGCAAAATGGCGTTAAGATAGAGTTGATGTGAAAAAGGATTTCCTACTTGTGACCCATAGAAATTCACCTCTGCCATCTCAAATGCACACAGATACAGCTGCACAACTGAGTTAAACCATCTAAAACTCCATTGTGTCTACGTCACTTCTGATCGTTCACAGCTTGTGGTCTGAACGTGAGCGTCTGGCTTAACCCGGCACCACAACCAAGGGTAAAAGTGATCTTTACCTGCTGTTTAACACCCAAGATAGGGTCTTTACCGTGTCTTTGGTCGATGCCCCGTTCCTCAAAATAGTTCAACTTTATAATGCGAATGAAAACGACTAACAAACCTCTAGGAAGACGTCAGTAGGATGCTGGTTATACGGCGGAACAACTCGGCTGAGGCGAAAAACCGTGATGCGACGTTGTGGTCTGTCCCAGGTGACTCGGGGTGAGGCGAACATGCCGAATAGACAGGCTGGACGGTAGGCTGCACTGCTCCTATTGCTCCCATTGGCTGTCTGCTTTGTGCAGAGGTTCTCGGCTGTCTTATTGTCGAATCTGGGGCCTGCGAACACAAACGCGGCTTGGTAGTAGTCCTCCAGGAACTGACCAAATTGTCTCTGACAGGTGATGGCCAGAAAGTCGTCCAGAGCGGATGTCTCGATTTCATCTACGGGCCGCCTCAGAGCGGGGATACGCCTTACATGCGATACCTTCTTCGTCGTGTTACCTGTGGAAACGACGTACTCGTGGACAAAAGGTAATTTCGGTGCATATAGTGAGATCCGGGCGAGCCGAGTAAACTTAGTGCCGTTTCGTTGGCTCTTTGGGGGAACTTCAAGGGCCACGCGAACAGCACGAATGCGCTGAAGTGGTGGGATGTCATCCAGAGTGGTCCCCTTGGTCACAAATATACCTGCTCCGACGTAGTCTAAATCCAGGTATTTTCCGAGGTTATTCAGGGCGTTGCTGAACTCAGTAGTACTCAATTCGTCAAATGGACCTCGATCTGGAAGATGTCTCACCAGCGTATTCGTTTTCAATGGACCGAGTAGTAAAACCGCGAGGATAATCGATAGCTAAATGGACCAAAAAATCAAGAGAGCAGATGAAAGGGAAATTGTCGGCTTCCAGCAATATGATTTATGTAACAATCGGAGTGGAACTATTCTGCAAATGCGGCTCTGCGTTCACTCAGTTCACTTAGTGTACGACTTATCATTACACTTGGACTTGCCTGACTGGCTGGCGCCCATCGTATTTTTTTACTGGTCTGACACTCTCGTAAGGCAGTCGATTCAATGGCAACCAGGTAATGGGTGATGTTGCGATCCAGATCACATTTGATGCAAATCGCTACATTGGACTTATTTTACGTAGAGATAACTCAATAGCCAATTCTAGACACAAGTGGGCAACAGAAGTGTCTGCTTATGCATTTACTGAATGCCTTGGTATGTGGTCCTGTACCAAGCCGGGGCCTCAGTTACCCAAAGGGGACAAGCAGAAGACCGGATGCGACGTTGACACGACCGTTTACAAGACAGCTCAACCAACTTGTGTGGTGTGAGAGCTTGCGCTCGTAGTTGTGGTGATCTAGTTAACACACAAATAACTGGTTCAACAGATAGCTGGAAGGTACATGCACCAATGAGCGTGAGAGCAGATGGTCCTCTGTGGCAGTGTGCGGCAGACTGCAGCAACCAGATTAGTGGACGTGGACATGCCAGATTTGACTACTCCACGTGGGAGTGTGTTCTCAATGCAGCTAATTTAATGTTTCAATAATCGAAGAGGAAAAAACTGGCAATATAATCATAATATGCCGCTAACTGAATGCATAAATGATATGAAAAGATCTACAATTGAACTAAGGCAAAACAAATTTTTAAAACTGAGGAGGGAAAGTTTGCCATAATTTTAAAACCGATTGGTGAAAGAAAGGTGGCAGTTGTTGTAGTTGGAGTTGTATATGAGCTCGTCCACGTACCTTCATTTTCAACATTGGCTGTGTGTGTGCGGCGGTCATTTATATGCCTCGGTCAGTGGTCGCGATAACTCGTAGCGCCGGGGGGAGGGGGGGATGTTAATGCGTATGCGTGTTATACCAGTATTAGCATTGAGTCAAAACATGCGCATTTATGTAACGGAGCGTACCAAATGATAAAAAAATATTGGTGAATTGATTTTCACCGTCGTGAGGTAGCGGAAGAGCTAACATGTTTTTTTCCGCAAAAAATAATAACAAAAAAACGGCTATGGCTCGGAATTATTACAGATCCATTTGCCATTAGCTGAAGTTGGAAGATCAATCGTCCATACGACGGCCAGATCTTTGCTTCAAAACAGCATCGACTAGATTACCATAATCTGTTATTCACAAGCCACCTGAGTCACCACAGGTATTCCTTTATTGATTTATGCTGCCAAAAGTCGTTACCCCCTTGTGTGAGTCAGTGAGCTCGAGTTCCACATTGGGGATTCAAAAGTTGGAAAGGTTTGGCCTTCTACGAGCAACTAGTCTGTGAATAACTCGGGAATAGCTTAGGTGGCGTGCTTATCTCGTTGTCTACGCCCCATTAGAAATAACAACCAATTAGAAACCTTGCACGTTTTTTTAGAAATCTAAACTAGCTCTAGCCCCACAGCAACGGCATTTAGGCTCGCTCAATCCACTTTCTGTTTCCTCAGATAGTTTACTTCACCTGTGTCCAATCCTCTCCCTTCCTCATCATTAAGAAAAGCCTAGACCAATGAGCGTTCGGGTTCCTAGTGCCTCTCGTCTCCTCGTTTCTCTGTGGGCGTCGTTGTCCACGCAAGTCGTCAGTCCTGGCGCGGGCTCAGTTCCCACATTGGGACAGGGGACCGCCTGGAAGACCACGCAGAGAGATTCCCATTGGTCGAATGATCTGTTCACGCATACAACCTCATAGCCCTTTCCGCTGATACCCCTCCCATTGCGATTCTAAGCCAGATGATTCAGCCGTGGAAATGATTGTCGTTTCAAGACGTGGCAATCCTTCTTGGGTTGAAAGAGCAAAGAGCGAGTGAGTGATTTAGTCGCTACGGTAACGTCATATAACGCGTAGGAACAATTTTAATCACTAGTGGGTGCAGTATTCATGTGGGGAACATCCAACCGTGCAGCTAATCTAAACACAGACACCTGGCTGACGATGAGCGCCGAGAAGAAGAACATTTTGAACAGGAATCGCCCCTGTCATCGGATAAATCCCTTCATTAATAGCCAGTGTTTTGAAATTAATGCAATTGTTGTGGGCCCCAGCGTGTGGTCTTGAACCAAGCGGAGGCAACGGAATTAGTCCTAGCCCGATTACGTTTCCCCAATACTCGCGATGAAGGAAAAGATCGGAGAGGACATGGACACAACCGTTGGTGTCGTTGTGTCGTGTGTGGGGTTTGCGGGTGCGTATTTATACCTCGGATGTGTGAGTCATACATGCGCTAACATCGAGACCTAGGTGTGAGGTTAATCCAATAAAAGTATTCATGCGAATGAGAGGGGAGTTGAGGATCTGCGAGGCTAGGAACATGCTGGAGCGACCGGATTAAGGGGTGTGAATAAATACGATTCACAACACAAAGCAAAAACGTGCTTTTCTAGAGTCAAAGTTTTTCGACTGTTTTTAAATTAGGGAAAGTATGTCAAATGGGATGCACATTAAGTAATTGTTCCATAAGCACTACGAAAGTGCAAAAGTTTTCAGTATTCATCGTTTGGTTCGAAATGCATGTCTATTAGCAGCTAGGCCTTGGCCCTCAAACAAGCCCGACTACCTGACAACAGCAAGTCGTTTAGGTTGTAGGAGTTCAGGTAACGTTAGTCACCAACGTTAAAACATGAGGTTCTAATTCACACCTGTCAATTAGAATTTATTACAAGCTGTTACGCATGCTGCAAATACGTGATTTCATCTCTTCTCAAAGCCATCTATTTTATTCATGCCAATACACACACTGCCTTGTGCACGCAAAACAGAAAGAACTGCTTCACCTCTAGCATGAAAAGAGCCAATGAAAAAGCTTGTTGTCAGTTGCCATTAGGAGCTGATGACTGTCGATTTTTGTCGTGGATAATCGGCTGCATGAATGAACATATAATTTAGGATTTTAAATTTCGTAAATAGTCATGGGGTTTGTTATGGATGGCATTAGGTGGGAGCCTAACCTGCGTCTAAACGCAGAACCGTACAGGCATTGTAGGCAAAGAAGAGAGTTGTAAAAAGAATCGACGGAAATCACCGGTCAATGGAGTCAAAAAACGGTTTCGTCCGCCGGGGTCACCAAATACAACCGTCTAGTTAACAGCCTGTAAACAGCAGGTAACGGCTTGAAAAGAAAGGCAAGAACGATGATGGCAAAAATAACGATTTATTTACATTCGGCCACCCAAGTCTTCTATAGCACAGCGCGTGAGTGCATCTCGAGCATCAACTCTAATCGACAATCGATAACGTTCGATCAATTCGTGAGTACGTGTCACTCATGCTCGTGTGATGAAAGTTCACTACAAGTCGTGCTACGCAGATAAATGATTAACATGTGGTGTTTTTTGATCGACTCGAGTATAGTAAGGAGTGGAAACTCAGCCACGATTTGAGCAACACCAATTTCATCCACAATTCCTGAAAGCCTAGTGGTCATCATAAACCAAACTCTAGTCCACTTTGACGTAGCCAGTCAGTTGCAAATCAGTTTTACAGCTAGTGCTAGAATTGCATGGTCAATGAAACGAGAAGAAACCATTATTACGGAAATAAAAGAAAGAGTCGCTGGTGCCAAGACAGAGTGCGTAAGAAATGGATCGGTAAAAGTAGTTGTGAGAACCCAAGAAACTCCGATTAATCAAGTCATGAATCGTGGTAAATTTCAAGTGAGCGCCTCATATTGCTGAAAAACCACAGACCCGTGAGTCATTTAAGCTAACGACATCGACCATAGGATAAGGACGTGCTTAGGTGGTCAAAAAATGTGTTTGTGTGTTCGTTTTATCACTAAGTTACTGACAAAGTGTAAGAGAATTGTATCAGTGCTCTGGATTCGTTTATTTGACAGCTAGACTGAAGTCATGCGATGTGACTTGGTTAATTATCGTGAAAGAAAAGCAAAAGAAAGTCAATCACCACTACTTTATGTATTGTTTCCCTCCTGAATTTAGTGATTCGGGTTGCTAAGACTTGCATTGTTTTAATTAGAATACGCCTGAAGACGCGGCACTTTTAAGGCATTCTCAAAGGAAAATGCCGATGAATTGGTGTGGTTCTAGGATGAGCAGTGCGCCGTGCCACAAGTAGAACTCAACGCTTCCTAACATTCCTTAACTCAATGTCTTCTTAAATTTTGTTGCCTTTTTCCTGTAGTGACCATGCCAGATGAAAGAAAGCTAATTTTAAGAGGTCGAGGCTGAGTTGTTATTGTCAGTATCATTTTGAGTCAAACGCCAATGACTAAATTACATGAAAAAGAAAAGAAATTCAGCTTTCGAGATTTCAAACTGGGAAAAAATGAACAAATCAACCTCGGAGTTATAAAAAACAGTATATTTTACTGATCATCGCATGAGCGAAGTGTGGTTATTTTGTTCTCCTGCCGTAAATACAAGTTGAATTCTTATGGCTAATATAGTTAAAATCATGAAACTACTGAATTCAAATAGCCGATATTTTTATTTAAACCACGTGGCAACTGCAAAACCTCACGTCCAAATTCAGTGATGTCCTCGAGTGTTGTTTGGCTAGCTTTAGCTTGCTCATTTTGGCTCGTTTGCAACGAAGCTGTTTAAAATTACACGGGTGCCCACGTAATGTCGCATGACAATGGCGGTTCTGTAAATCAACAGCGGTCATTTCGGTGAATTTAATTTGGTTACTGTTTGTTGACGGCGATTGTTTGAAACCTTCAAATAATGTAGTGAAAAATTTCCTGGTTCAAGGTCAATAACCTGGATCAACCTAGCAAAAAATAATTTAGTCAGAAATTTTATTTAATGTATAGGAATCTTGCCAGACGAAAAATTAATAAATTTTGAAGTCCTTTTCTTAAATGATGAATCAAACAGCACCTCGGTGTAGAACATTTCAAATACCTAATTTACTGAGGCGAAAGCCGAATGCTGACACATCTAGGGCTTGAAAATAATTTTTTGACATGCTTTTATAACTCCTTTGAAACATTACGAAAAGACTTATGGAGAGTAAGCATCTAACTTTTCTGGCTCAAAAAGATTTTCTAAAGTTTGTAAAGAAAACACTCAAGAATGGTTTTCATAGTGGCGCTAACAGATGGAATGAATGTGCCTTTGATAATTTCACATTAATAATCCTTCTTTTTCCTAAGGTACAGCAAAAATCTAACACAAAACTGCTTTTTATCACAACTAGCTCTAGCAAAGGAACAGATAAAAAAATGCAAGACAAGGATTTAATATAAATTAGGGGAGAATAAGGTGGGTGAATGTTGGCGTAAAGGCTGATTCCTCATGCCTGCGAGATTTTGTACTAAAAGATCAACAAACGTTTTACGGCTAAGTTACCATGTTCACCATTTTTTTCTGCCGTTACTACAGATTTTACATCCAATGTGCTAAATGGGCATATTTATGCCAGGGAACTGCGAAACTGGGTTTCCTGACACATGCATGGAATTTCCGGCACTGACCCATGTTGGAATACTCTTTTAGCCACCATTGCATTAACATATCAAACAATTAGGTTTTAAAATACCTCAATTATTGTTGTCTTCCATTTTAACTATTTAGAATCTTTATTTTTATTTTAGACACACAAATTAAATTCATATCAAAAATACAATTTCTGAAAACATTTAAAAATAGTTCAAATACTTGTTAGAGCTAACCAATTAATATAAATTTAATGTACGTCAAACATAATTGAAAATATTGAGAGAATTTACTCGGTGCACGGTGATTCAATTAACCAATTGGTTAACATTAACCAATTATTATACGGCGGAGTT